AAAGCCGTAATTTAGTTGTAACAAACTATTTGCAAAAGGGCGTATTGTGCAGATACAGATCAACTAACACTATAACCTCTCATAAGATATTTACACTGGGCTTGAGCAAATCAATGAGCTGATAGTTTTCACTTCGTATCATGGGGTATTTATGCCAACGCCTAGATACTGAAAGCTGAATCACTTGCCCATGTTTGTCAAGAAAACCCCGGGAACAGTGGTTTCACTTTTTAATGACCTGGATAACAGGCCAGTAAGTGCATTCTTCCTTCCCTTACTCAAGACGATACACGTAGTCAGTGGACACACATGCCATATATTGTATCCCCAGTCAGAAGTGTTTCCATACAGCCTACATAAATGGCTTTTCACTAATACATTTAAAAATCACTAGTGTTATTTCCGTGCGTATTTGGTTTAACTATTTCAACATCCATACAAGACCACTATATTGTTCTATGCATAAGAGCTTGCTTTGTCACATCTCCAACCTCAGTATCTTTCTTTTGGCACCAAATACTGTCGGGCTCAGCCCCCCCCCAAGTAATTTTGTGAGGAACATATCGATTTTTCAGAAGGATTTAGCATTTATCGTTCAACTTCAAATGAGCCCTGTAATGTACAGGACCTGCACCTCATTTAAGAAACAGAGACCCAAACAATGCCAGTTCTGCACAGAGGTATCCCAGCAGAGCTCAGTGTGTGAAGGAGATGTGAAAGTTCAGAGCAAAACCGGTCAACAGGGGTTTGCTGCAGGCCTCACTGAAAAGATGCCCCTCCAGTTATTTTTCCGACACCCAGAATCTCCTCTCAAAATACTTGTTCCAGCTGAATGAAGTGGTAAATTAACAGCAAGTATGTAGCACGAGTACAAAAAGTTATGACCAATTTACTTTACATCTGTTACATTTGCATCAAATTTGGAGCATGTAGCTTTTATATTTAGCCACCTTAAAAAATGTTATAAATGTCACCCCATTCCTTAACAAAAAACACCACCACTTCTGTGCCACCGAATGACTAAAGCACAGTTTTCTTATACTACCCCACAACAAAAGACAGAACCTGGGACATGTCTTTTACTGTTTTATTGAAATTTTTACAGAAATTGTCCACAAACTTCCATCTCCAGATGTCAGTGGATACCTGCAAAGGAATAAAAAAAAACTATGAGTGACAAATTGATATTACAGAGTGTTATAATATTGGATAAGGCAGCAACTTGAAACAAGCCAAACACCCTAAAGATGCTGGTGCACTTAAGGCAACAGGTCATAATGAATTGTCAAGACCCTTCTCAGACAAATGCCTCTATGTCATCAAACAATAAGGACACTCTGCTCAGGGCCCTGCACTCGGGGACACAGAACGTGGCCCCCAGCCAGGACACAAGAGACAGGATGGGTCCTATTCGGACTCGTCATCGTATCATCACTGAAGGGAGCTCACTAAAAAGTCGCCAGCAAGGGCCATATACACATGGACCCCTAGGACACCAAGTTCAGAGGCAGGTGAAGGTGCAATATTTAAGGGGCAAAGGCCATTCAGCACATAACTTCAACACTTCCAAGAGCGTGCAGAAAAGATGCGTTGCAGGAGTGCAGGAGGTAAAACTTGAGGCCCAGATCATGACCCTTCTTACCTTTATGCTGTGGCAACAGGACCCGCCTGAGGCATAACGGGGGCCTCGGGCTTGGCACCCTTCTGCTCAGAAATGGGGGTGGTAGGCAGGACCTCATCCTTGGGCTCCACGATGCTGACGTGGTCGGGAAGGGGCTTCTTGGGGCCGATCTTGCCGGTGGGATCCCAAGGCAACATGATCTTGACCTTGATACCCAGCACACCTGGAGACAGAGAGTACAGGTAACAGGTCACTCAGAGGAGAATGAACATGGTGGGGGATATACAATGCAGAGCATGTTAGCAGGAAACAACAGAAAACAGGTCTTTCTGGTAACCCAAAACGCACACAGCATAATTCCCAATAAAAAACTATCATATTTGATGTAATTAAACATACCTTTCAGTAAGATTTAATAGATTTATGTTTTTTCTCTAAAGCTACATTTCAAAATTACTACGTACAAAGCATGTTTCAATATTTTTTAACATACTGTCCATGAATGAGATACACTAGGTAAAAGCATCATTTCCACATGCACATCAAACCTGAGGTTTTTACAGCAGTGTAAAGTGCATATTTCATTATTCATTTTTCTTCAAAGTAGTTTTCCAGGTTTTAATATTACTAAGTTATCTAAGGGGGGAAAATAAATCAAAGTTCGTTCCATTTCCCACAGGTAGGGACCCCTTTTAACCATCTCTGGACTGCAGCACCACCTGGGCAAAGCACGGCAACAGCAGCCCACATCACAGACTGGGAGAAATGAGGAATTGCTTCACTAATTGAATTAAAGGGGGGTGTCAGTGTATATTCCAGATCAGAATTTAGCAAGGACAGTCGGGTTAATGCTCTAGTTTTTAAAATGATCGCATGTGATACTTAATGACCAAGCAGTCAAGAACTTGGTTTTAATCATACCAAACATGCACAGTGTCCCTGGGACACTGGTTTGGATGATGCTCTCAAGAGAAGTGTGGTACCTGCTGGTGCATGCAAAAGCCAAAAATACAAATTGCCATTTACAAATAAAACAAAATCTTGTGACAAACTTAAGCCCTTCTCAGACAAATGCCTCTATGTCATCAAACAGTAAGGACACTCTGCCTAGGCGCCTGAACTCAAGGACACAGAACGTGGCCAGGAGTCAGAACACCAGAGACAGGCTGTGTCCTGTTCAGACTCGTCATCGTATCATCACTGAAGGGACTAGCCCCAGCCCAGGGTGGCGTCTAACAGAATATCACAGACATGCATAAAGCCAGGGAAGAAATCATAAGTATAGCAAACTAATGACTAGAGAATAGACTTGACCGTACTACGGGTCAACTACATTAGATGGCAAGATCTACTGCTGTACATACCCTGTCTAAGCAGGACGTGGCGGACAGCTGTGTCAACGTAGTAGTTGACAGGGTCACCACTGTGGATCATCAGCCCATCGACAAACTTCATGGACTTGGCTCTCTGGCCTCTGAGCTTCCCAGACACCACCACCTCACAGCCCTTTGCACCACTCTCCATGATGAACCGCAGCACACCGTAGCAGGCTCTGGAACACAAGGAGGCTTAGGACTTCAAATGCACTCTCACTGCTTTCTTTCAAGATTGCAGCAGTTAGAAGTTAGAAAGTTAGCAACCTGCCTAAAGAGCACTTAAAAAAAATCAAATGAAAAGGATTACCAATATGATTCAATGACCTGAGTAAGTGCCCATATGAAGTTCCCAACATCCTTACAATGAGATAATGCATTGCATTTTAATGCACTGCTTACATTTTTAGTAGAAATTCCTGGTCTGTGCCCATCACATGTGCCAAAAACAGACATAGCAGAACCTCGTTGTAAACAGGCACCTGAAACCGTTTCTTTTCAGCACAGAATATACTTTTACTTGCTCCTTTGCAGCCTACCCATGCTGAAGCCGCTTCCTGCTTAAACTCATTGTAAACAGCTATACACAGCATTCAAGTGCACAAGTGAAAAGCCTTCAAATCCAAGTTAAACTTATATCTAACCTACAGTAGTCTAAGAAAAAAAAGCCTTTGCGGCTTTACACCAGCGTGAGACAAAGGATTTGCTACATGAGGCAGCAGTTTACAAGCCCAGCAGCTCTTCGTGCAGTCAGCTGGCTGTAAGTCTTAGGAAATAAACCCAGTCAACACAACTGAGCTTGTTTTCTATTAAAAAATGGAATATGTTACAAGTTTTTTTTTTACACAATGTAGCAAGCATAAAGCAAAACCTCATCTAATTTACTCCCATGGATTTATGTAAGAAAAGGCGTGGATTCTTATTCTAAAGGATCCAATCGCATAATTGAGCCTGTAATTAAACAATTTCACCTTATGATTTTAAGGCTATGTTCATGTGTATGTATTGATTCTAATTAGAAGATCCTTCTCAGACAAATGCCTCTATGTCATCAAACAATGAGGACACTCTGCTCAGGGCCCTGAACAGAGGGACACAGAACGTGGCCCCCAGCCAGGACACCAGAGACAGGATGGGTCCTGTTCAGACTCGTCATCGTATCATCACTGAAGGAACAGCAAAGTACTAAACCAGTGGTTCCCAAGCCTGGTCCTGAAGGAAGATGTTGTCTGCTGGTTTTGATTTCGGCTGAACTATAAATCTCCGGGGCTGATGACTTAATTGATCTACTTGCTTATTTAAACTGTCTCCAGGTTCTTCAGGCAGTCTCAATTAGTAAACCCCACCTGGTTCAAAGTTACTGTTGACTACTGCTTGCTATTATTTCTGACTGAACAACTCTTACTGGTTGAAAGTTGTTCTAATCAGGTAACAGTTTAGGAGACGCACATGAAATCTAGCCAAAGGTCGTCAACAATCATAAACCCTTTTCCCCCCATATAAAGATATGTCCCATGTAGAAAAACAATTAGCCTGCAAGTTAAGAATTCCACCACTGCAAAAACAGAAGACCGTGTTCTTCCAGGAAGTGTTGGGAACCAGTCAACTAAAATACAATGTGTATAGATTTTAAAAATGTCTAACACCGCAAATATTGGGCACGTGCCATTCATTCATGCAAGAGCTTGAAAGATTAATATAGGTAGAATTATCTTTGAAACACTGCCTAAAATTCCAGGTTGCTATGAAAGTTGATGTTGTATATTTACAAACTATGAGCAAGCATATTTTTTTACTTAACTTCTGCATGAACAGACACACAAGGTTCATTAAGTGACCCAAAGGGACAGCAACTTCTGATGAGAAACTTACCTACGCACTGCCAGCCCCCCCAGCAGCTTGTAGCGCAAGGACTCGGCCTGAGCGATGGCACACAGACCCCTGGTGGCAACCTTCTCGGCATAAAGCTTGAGAGAGAGTGAAACTATTACTGCACAGTCCAGTGTCTCAGCATGAAGCTTGTCTAGATCATCATACTCCAAACACACTTCTGACAATAACCACTGCTTGACGATTAAGAAAATATATTGACCCACACTGCTTTAATATAACTTAGATTTAAATTACTTAGACAGACAACTCTGCTGCCATAATAAAACTTTGAAACAGGGATCCTGGTTCTGACCCTTCAGTAAAATACACTGAGGCTTCAACTGCATCAACTTCAAGTGCTGTATGTCACCAGAATGCCTTATGACACAGAACACTATGTACCAATGGTCAGCTGCTGTAAATATCCCCTCTTCTTAAAGGAAGCTTTTAAAGCTCACCTCAACACTGTTCTCTGGGAATCCAAATCTCTTCTGAACAACAGCGGTCAGCTCACGAATGCGGCGGCCTTTCTCACCAAGCACGTTCTGCGTCCTGGAAGAAAACACTCACAGGTGAGAACTCAGGTTTCCAAACTTTAAATAAAACAATACCAACATGACTCAACTGCAAACCAGGAGAAGCACGTCCTCTTGAAGCAGAAATCACTCCACAACTTTCAGAACTACAAATGCTTCTGTAATGTACATGGAGTTTGCATATGCTGGTCAAATCATGTACAAAAATCATGTCCACAAGAGTCTTTTTAGACAAAACCTTCAGAAACTACATTTATAAGCCCCTAATCTCAGGAAGATTACAGGAATAAGATGCAGACTGAACAGTTCTTTCAGACAGGATGCCAATTCAGCATCATCTAACAAGAGCCCAGTAGAAGGTCTTGTAAAAATCTTTTTGATATAATAATTTTCAGAGATGCACAAAATGAGGTTACAAATGTTTTTTTTTTGTGTGCAGTGCACGGTGTACAGGGCCTAAAATAATCTACAAGTAATAGGTTTATTCCATGCTGAAAGAAAGATACAAAACATTTTGGCCATGGAGCCTTCTTCAGGTGTGAGAAAGACAAGGCAGTAGCAAAGGTAATGTGGCTTACTACATTGTCTTTCTCACACCTGAAGAAGGCTCCACTGCCAAAACGTTGTGTTTCTTTCTTCTTTTTTTCAGCATGGAATAAACCTATTACTTGTTCCTATGCACGATGACGCAGCTGCCCACCTGAACTACTAAAATAATCTACTTCAATGTCCAATTCCTAATTGTGAACTCAAGTTTTTAACTGACAGCTCCCTGGAGTTCTGACAGTGACTGCTATATGCCAGGCTCCCGGGAGGCGTGTGATTGTGTGTGGAGTCTCACCGTGTGGCGAGGATGATGATCTCTGTTCTGGTGGGGGTGACGCGCACCTCCACTCCGGAGTAGCCATCCTCCGCAAGCTCGCGAGTCAGGAACTCATTCAGCTCAGCTTTAAAGATGCCGTCTGCAACAAACTGAACACGACATGTCCTTTCACACATTTGTGCACGCTCGAAATTCAGGCTCCTTTCCTGCTTTGCAAAGCAATACCGCCACCCCCATCCCCATCCAATGAACATCTACGCTTCATAGTTTTTCCTTACACTCCTTGCCCCTGTATGTACACACTTCACATGGCTCGACCTATGCAATTCCTATTATTAATAACAATTCAAGGTAACTGACGTGCACATACTACGGTAAATAATTATTTAACACGTCAAGAAGTTAAATGATATAAAGACATCGAATTTAGACTCCCTGTTGACATGATAAATACAAGAGAAATAGCACGAGAGTCATTTTTCTAGTCCTGATGCACCAACGAAGTCAGGAAATTTGACGAAGTAGGCCAAAACGGTTAACAAGCCTGTCAATACACAGAAAAAACACTCAAATGAACAAGTTCATAGTTCTACGCTCTGGAATTCACAATGTTCCGCGGATTTAATGGAATAATTACACATCTAATTGAAACTACAGCAAGATACAAGCTACGACCGACACATAAGCGGTCTGCCATGTTACTTGGAATCAGTAGAACAGTCCGGCCCCATCTACAGCAATCCTTCATCAGTACACATCTCAGCAGAAAATCAAGCACATCAAAACATTTTCAAGAATGCTCCACACAAAAACATGGGGACATTTCTCTAGAGCAAGCTTTTCTGTACAAGTTTTTATGAGAAATAATTCTCCTACCTTCCTCTTCTTAGAGATCTGCGCCGCCATCTTGCTTCGTGCCGCTGAAAGGAAAGGGAAATCGCTTCCGGCGGAAGTCAATTTAAAGAATCCATTCTTCCGTTCATAGTATCGAGAGGCTTGTGGGAGTTGTAGTGTTTAAGAGATTTCAATCCGTGATATTTTTATAGCGCACACTGAATTGTGTGTAAAACAAATTCTCACCTTGATACAAATTTGCAATAGTGCCAGGTTAATATTGTATATAATCTGAAGCGACGTTAGAATGACACTGTACCACCCCCCCTTCACCCTCCATAGCCGGTAAGATTCAGTAGATCAGAACAACGTTTTCCGAAGTGTTGGGTTAAATAACGTAATCTAACAGCAGAGTGTGAAGAGAGAGACCCCTCATGTCCATGTAGAGCAGAGATTAATGCCACCATCTCTCCTATTCTCCTGAGAACTAACACAAGTATTGTGTGTAACAATTACAGACATTACTGTTGTTTTACGGTTATGGCTAAGCAGTTTAATCGATATTTATAATGAAACACTGTGCCTGAAGATGTAATGTTCTTCATACATTCACACATTATGCAATTTTAATTGCTGCATGTACAACAATTTTATTTAACACAAAATGTTAAAAACATATATACACCATCAGGTAGAGTGATGCATTGTACAGATAGATAGGTAAGCAGGTAATTTATAATGAAAACGTCATGTATTCAGATCTTGAAAAAATTAAATCTCTATGTTCTTTTCCAATTTGCCAGGACTCAGAAATAATATTAGACATTAAGTTTAGCAAAGTGTACATTCCTATGAAATAAAAATATCCATATACTGTAGTACTCTATATGGAAATAACAGAAGGAAAGACACTGTTGGATCTAGAAGAACATAATCAATTTGTTATAACTGCTTTGTATTAAAGGGCTCTAATTTGTACCTATTTTATCACCTGCAAGCTGAAAATATGCAAACCAAGTTCATTTTTAAACACACTTGTTTTATGTAAGAAAAATACAATTCTTTTGCTGACCTTGAATGAGCTCCTCCATCATCCTATGGAAGAAATATTTCAAACATATCATGCAAATTAATTAAAATGAAAAAGAACTGCTGAGTTTATCGAAACAGCATGACATGAAGAATAATTTGACTAAAGCCTAAAAGTCTGTTTCCAATCATGGAAACACTAATCGAACGAACTGACATGGAAATGTGGAATTTGTGACCAAAAATAAGCATGACGTAGCAGAACAGATACTGTTTATTCTTCAAATTGAACATTTAAGAATAATTACAAAACATCATTATGAAAATCACATATCCAGAGACAATGAAAAGCAAAAATAAACAAAGCAATGAGTACCTCAGCTTGTTAGAGATAATACCAGAACATACCCTAGTCACGTCCAGTGTTTATTCTTGTCTTATTGTGATGTAAATATGCAAATATTAAGGTGTTAAGCAAGGAAAACTCAGAAAGTGTTTGTAACACTAAATGCTCAGGTTTTAATTATGAGATGTAAGCTGCACAGTCAGTAGTAGTAGGGTAACTCTTGGGTCCTGGGTTTGACACCAGATTGGGGAATATCCTGCTGACATGCTCTGCTCATGAATATTTGGGGCCTCTCAGACACATGCTGTCCAGATTAATTGGCATCTCTGCCATGTATATGTCTGTGTCTTGCAATGGACTGGCATCCTGTCACAGTGCTGACTCGTGCCCCATGCCTGACAAGATCACTGCAGTCTTTTTAAGGATAAAGTGGTTATTGAAAAAGGATGGACGGAATTGTAAGATGTTTTTTTTTTATTTCGTTCCATAAATGACATAATTGTCATTGAGAGTTGTGTCCCCTACTAGGGTTCTCAGCCTTCCCATCAACAGTATTAGGGCACAGTAGGAGAATCCGCCCATATGATACTGGGGGTCTCCATAGGCAGCCATCTCTTGGGCTCTTCACAAAGGCAGGGCTGTCCCTGACCCAACCGGCTGATGCGGTTTTTGACTAGAACTTTGCTTGCAGAAAGATGGGCAAGGGCATAAATCCCCAGGGATCCATCCTTAAATCCCACAAAAATGCTGAGGTTGTCAGACACAGCTAGGGCTGATGGGCTTTTGCAGAGGTAGCAGGAGCCTACATTTTCCCCATTGGAAACTTGAACCACATTGAGAACCGGCTGGGAGTGGAAATCGCAGGAGCAGTTGCATGGTTCAGCGTCACAAATGAAGACTATGTAGTTTCCAGTTAGGGCTAGGCTAACAAACAGTACCTGGGCTTTGGCCTCTAATGAACACAGGGTCCCATTGAGAGTGTCTAAGACATTGATTGTGGCCCCATCAATTGAGATAATGGCATATCTTCCATCCGAGGACAACTGGAATATATCCAGCTGGCTTAAAAATGCAACAGGTACCTGGACATGCTGACGGATAGTCTCTTTAGCAATATTCCAGGTGTAAATGAATCCGGAAGAGTTGATGAGGACCACATAGTCTGGATGTTCAAGTAATGGCTGAAAGGCCACAACATCTGTTTCTCCACCACAGGAGAACCTCTTGCTTACACATCCAGACCACAGACTTACAGCCAGGAGGTCTCTCTCATGCAGCCCTAGAACAAACGTGCTCTCGGGCGTGATGGCTGCATTCTCCAAATACAGATGAACATTGCACACAATGTGCCCATCGCTGAGGTTCCATACCCGAGAGAGGCTGTGCTCACAGATTGACACTACCAAATGGCTGTTTGGGGTGATCAGGTGCTGGGATGCATGACAGCCACGGATGCGGTAGAGGTTCTCCCCTGTATCAGTTTTCCAAACATAAATGTCCCCAGAGGAATCGGAAGTGACCAGATACTTGCCAGTCCCTGTAAGGGAACAGATTTCCACTGGGTTTCTATGGCAGAAACTGCCTTCCAGGCTGCCAGACAGCATGCCCCACTTATACACGACCTCAGTGCCATCTGTTGTGTAAATGTGCTCTCCTTGTGACCCTGTAAGAATTCTTTTTATAGTTATTCCAGTCTTGGAAACACAGGAGGCACCCAAAATTAAATCCAGGTCCCAGAACGTAAGGCAGCCACTCACTGTTACAGCCACCAAGGTCGACTGCTGTTTAACGAGCTTCAGGACCTGGGTGTGGCCAGCATCTAGACTCAGAATGCACTGGCCGGTGTTTCGGTTCCACACCAGCAGGAAAGGGCAATCTTCTAAGGAAGCAATGATAAGGCTGCAAATGCTGGAAAGAACAGCCTGGATAAACCTTTTATTCCGAGGAGCTTTAAATTGATCACATATTGTCCAGTTGGTGGTGTTCCACAGCACTATGTGCGTCTGCTTACAGATTAAGAAAGTCTTATTCTCAACTGAATTCTCAGTTCCTAAGACTTCTTCTCGATCCTCTGGATTATAGCACTCTTTCAATAGCCTGGTTTGAGTTATTGTTTCTATATCCCAGACAAATACATTTCCAAAGCTGTCAACCCATGACATCGTGTCTTCACATTCAGAGTGGAGCACGTGTAGGATAGAGGCTCTTGCTACGCTTGTTGAAGAAGTACTAAGGTGACAGCCTTCATTGTGGGTATCAAAAATGGAGACCGTGCTTTTGTGCTGTCCACAAAATGCAAACTTTCCATTGGAGGAACATGATACACATGTCACTTCATGCCGACAGTCCAGCTGTCCAAGCCATTTACCTGTGTTTAAGTCAAATATGCGGACATATTTTGCACCTCTGAACCATACAAAAATGCTGCTTTTAACAACTAAAAAGCCTTGAACAGTGTGTGGAGTTGCTGGAGATTTGCTGATAGACTTCTGGAAATCAATTTCTTGAATAACTGTAGGGTCATTCAAATTGCACAAAAGTAACCTGTTACATTTTGTGGACAGCAAAAGAAACTGCCCTGCACATTTGGCACTGGTAAACCCTAGGTCTGATGAGTTAATACATTTAAAGCCCCCCGGAAAGTCTTCATTCCATGCCCAGACAGAACCATTTTCCAGAATCATTACTATTGTTTCACTCTGAGTCTCTAAAACTTCAGCAACAGGGGAGACATCAACCGCTGACAGCATGGAGCGTGTGGAAGGCACACTCATTACAGATGAATGCACAACATTTATGCCACAGTTTTGCAATCCCTCCTGATAAATTTGCTTTGCATAATTCACTAAATCTGGTAAAATGTCCACAAATGGAAGCAATTTAATCTGAATTACCATTGTTAGGTCATCGGGTGTAACCTGAAGCAAACAGGCAGCTCTTCTTAGGATGCTAGCGAGAAGTTTCAGCTCTTTATTGAAAGCAAGCAGGGAAGTCTCTTCAATTTCAGATATCATGCCATTCAGGTGACCAGCTTTCAACATTGCTTGTTGGAATCCGAATGTCAATATTATGCTCTTGATTAGCTCATCAAGTCTGCCACTTGCTCTCAGGTGAAATGGTAGTTCATGAATTTTTCTTAGATTACTCAGTATAGTCTTTGGAGAGTTAAAGAGCCAGGGCTGGGAGGGTTGCTGTCTATCAATATAAATTCTTGGTGCAGGTGTGCTTGAGGAAGCCTGAAGAGAGAACAGTGGTTTGCCCTGCGCTGTTTGATTGTGGCTGAGGATTAAAGGCTTGGCTCTTCCATAAGCCCAGCGGTCACTAAAGTAATTGGACACTGTGTTGTGCATTTCCTGCACCTTCTCATCAGAGCCAAGGTAGAGCTTGTTAATGACTATTGGGAAGTGTCTGTTAGCCCAGAACAGCACTTGAGACCCCAGCACATACCGCCTCACCAGAACACCCTTGAGATCGAGAAGAAGCTTCTCTACAGTTGATTCTGGGAGCCTCAGTTTGAAGGGCAGATTGTCTCCAGGAAGGAATGTTGAAAGCACATGGTCTTCAGAAGACAGGATATCAGTTAGTTCTGCCTCTGTGAAACCGGACCTTGCAATAGTTATGTAGCACATGGCTTTGATGACCAGCTCTTTGCCATGTTTTTCCTCAAGATGGCCTAGGAACACTTTAATGTTATCGTGGACTCCCTTTCTTAATGAATTTTCTGTAACTTCTAACTCAGACCGCCAAAGACGCACCTGCCTGTACAGTAACTCAACGTACAGCGCGAGAGAGCAGTCGTTCAGAGCTTTATTGATGTACACCTGTTGTCCCGAGGTGATCTTCCGCTTAGAAGACAAAAGAAGGTCTGTCAGCATCTTAGAAAGATCCTTCCTGTTCATTGGCCTCAATTCCACAAACTGAGAGGAATCACGGTACAGAACCTTGAGGGCCTGCAAAATGCCAAGCTTCTTTGGGGCTGTGGAAATTAAAAATTTAACATGGGGAGGGAGGAACTTGGGTAGCCACCAAATACTTTGAGTTCTATCAGATTCTGCTATCTGATCCAGTCCATCTAGGATGAGGATTAGAGGACGCTCAGATGAGGGTGCAGAGAGAAGGCTAACAAATTCTTCTTTAAGCTGACTGACGTGTTTCAGGCAGCTCTGCAGTGGCTGATCATAGCTGGCGGCCAGCTGTTGGCATATCATTGATAGAAGGTGTTTCAATGAGTCACTGTCACCTCGAATGAAATAAACAACAACTACAGGATTCCTGTCACTGAGCCAGAGGCCCACCTGAAAAAGACCAACAGAGTACATTTTTAAAATTGTTAAATAATAATTACTTGAATGCGTATATAACATAAATGAGGGAACCTACTTCATTTGCCACCCAACCCTGTGTGTGCTGCAACCATTATACAATATGGCCAATTACTCCATTACATATCATATTAGGTAGAGGACTGAGAAATAATTTGAACCAGCTGAACTGTCAAATATTTTGTCAAAAAGGAGTTTTAATTTGCATGTTAAACTTTCATGACCTCTATAAAATAATGCTGTTTATCACAATGGCATAATGACAGTAGCCTACCTGCTTGGCACAGTGAGCAAGCAATACAGTTTTGCCTGTACAAGGACCTCCGCTGACAACAAGTGGATATTTGGTCTCCTTCTGCACAAAGTAACTTTTAATGTTCTCCACCTCTGCACATTCAAGTCTGTACAAACTAGAATAGATGTCGCACAAGTCCAGCTGCTGCAAGAAGTTCTCTGTGAGAGTGTCAAGCCGAGCTGGGTTTCTGGACACTGTCCTGTCAATGAGATTCAGCATATTAGCATAAACCTGCTCACAGAGTCCCTCAGTATACTCCTGGCGCAGCTCAGGTGTGTAACCCTGCCTCAGCTCACAGGTGGTTGTGGAGGTGTACACCTGAAGCCCAGAGGATGTTACCAAGTTGGGCAGGAAGACATCGCGCAGCTGGCAGAGCAAGGCACTGGCGTTGCTATGGCAAAACGCCTGGAGCTCTGAGTCACCGACGAGTCCGGACTGTGGTTCCACCACTCTCTCCCTCTGTCGAGTCAAGTTGGAAATCTTGTGGACGTAACAGAGGAACCTTTCAATGTCCTCCTTGGAACAGTTTTCAAGAGCGAACCGCATTTCCTTTTCAAGAGCTGTTGGTAAAGAGCACAGCAGGGTCAAGTCATTAATAACCATTCTACTGTATATGGCCAGTACTTTAGCGTGCCTGTGAACACAAAGCAGCGAAGTACTGTATGCTGTACACTGTATGAAACACATTCAATATCATTCTATCCATACTGTAATAATGTGTAATAATATTTTGGTTTTTCAGACTTGCCAGTTATTTTTGTTATACCCAGGTGATTTGGCATTGCCAGTTGTGCATTTTTGTGCACCTCTTCTCACAGTCAGTTAGTGACATAAACCCGTGATTACTGAGCTCCTCTTGCACGCAGGTGAGCACCTTAACTGGTTGAGACACCTGCAAAATGCAATTTCTTGTGTAATGTTACTTATGTTTGAAACGGTACCAGGAGTGTTTGTGGAATAATGTTTGCACGCGCTCAAAGTAATGTGAAACATTTTTTATTTAGACTGCACATTTTGCCACTGCAGGGCATTATGCTGTCCATTGGTATAATAAAACACTGGATGCAAAATAGTGTCTTGGAGATTTACATTCTATGAAGGTATCTGGACAACTATCTGCAAAATGACAGCTGCTGGTAGCTCTGTAGTGTATAATTAAAACATCACTATATTTATGCATGATAAATAATGTTCTTCAAAAAATAAAAACATATAGATTGAATGTTTTTCGCACACGTGATACGACACAGGTCCTCATACTACTTGTGTAACTATGGCTTTCTTGCAAGATATGAATGTGACGGTTATCCTAGGATTATTCTGCTCACCAGAACTAAACTCCACTTAACTTTTGTGGGATGAACTGGGACACATGTGCCACCTGAGGCTAAGACTTAGGGTCCAGTGACCAGGCACATACTTTTGTGTATGAGAATCCCACAAGACATCATCTGCAACCTATTATAAAGTATGCACTGCAGATCTGCAACTTGTGTTGCTTCCAGACACACTACTAGCCTGTGACATTCTAATAGAAGTTCTGTTGATAAACCTTGTTGATGACAAACATTAACCAGTGTAATGTATACTGATGGAAAAAAGAAATGCAACACCTCCTCCTCCACACTCTGGCCCTTCCATCTGCGTGGAACAGGCTGAAGAGTGACTCATCTGTGAAGAGGACCTGATGCCACTGCTGACGAGTCCATCGCAGCCTCTGTCTGGCCCAAGCCAGTTGGGTGTGATGTCTAGGAGGTGTGAGCAGAGGGCCTCTGATAGGTCGCCTTGCTCTAAGGCCAGCAGCATGGAGCCTCACTGTCCTGTCACTGATGCGGGCATTGTGTCTGCCAGCAGTTTCAGCAGCAGTATGGGTGGCAGATCTGAAACGATCTCTCAGATGGACCAGACTGATGTGTTGGTCCTGCTCCGTTGTGGTCACTCAAGGGCGACCAGATCTGTCCTGCCGGTGTGCTGAAACCTTCTCTGCAGTCGGGACACAGTGGAGCGGTTTACTCCATAGTGTCTGGCAACGCTGGCACATGACATGCCTGCCTCCAGCACGCCAATGGCCCTCTCCCTTGCTTCTGGTGACATGTGAGACATTATGGGATGCACAGAAAACTGACTAAGTGTGGCCTTTTTCTTGCAGTGACCTAAGCTTTGAATTAAAGCCTTTTTAAAGGTGACCTGATCAGGCATTGTTCCACCTGGACCTCATTGGCAAGTTGCAAATGCCTCACTGCACAAGTGGTATTGCTGGTCAGAGGGCTTAAAACAAATTGACAGCTTTTTGTGAAAGTACATAAGCTAAAACTGTAGTATTCTCATTCCAGAAAATGTTGCGTTTCTTTTCTCCATCAGTATATTTACTTGTATAATGTCAGTTCAATACAGTGCACAGAGTTACACAAATGAACAAGTAAAGGTTTATTCCATAAGAAAAAAAGGAGAGAGACAACTTTTCAGCTGTGGAGCCTTTTTCAGGTGCATCTCCAAAAAGAACTTTGTGAATGAACTGTAGTTATAATGAGTGATAGGTTTATTTGGATGCTCAATATATGCATATGTACTACAAATATAAGTAATCTAAGTTCAGAGCTTCTAATTACTGAAAGATAGCACTCCATGAGAGAAAACAAACACATAACACACACACAGTACATAAACATACTAAGCACATACACAAACAAATATACCCAGACCTACTGTACACATAAACAAACATATACACAGACACAACACACAGTCATTTTATACAGATGAATCTTCAGCACATCATTTATTGTAAAGATTTACCTGAGATAAAGTATTTCTGCCCTTGTTCTGGGGTAATTGTTCCTTCCTGAATGCATCTTGTAACAACGACAAAGAATAGCATCTTCATTTCTTGGAATGCCTCCTGCCACTCATGCTGATCTGTTTGTCGGGCTTGTTCATCTTGTTCATCTGTCTGAGAAGGTTTCCCTTTTATTAAAATCATATTTAGGACCATAAAGAAAAATATGTACCAGTCTTTTTTTAAGATGTTTCTTATACTCCAAACATAGAAATAGTCATTTCAAGCTTGACACGGAGTGCACCGCCATCGAATACTGAGTTCAGCATCAGCAGCTGACTGGTGGGCCAAGATGTTGAGTTAATCTGAGCCTTAAACCAGTAAATAATTATTTTTGCCTTATCTAACTTCCGGTGTCATTCATCAATATGGATTTTGTATGGTAAGCGCTACTAAGTTCTTCACATACAGAAAGCACTGAGCTCCTTTTTTTACATAGCCCGGCCAAGTCTACTGACCTCCTTTGAAAGGCAAAAAAGCCGTCGTCCCTCAGATGAAGGAATGTATGACTGCATTATTATGTATTACCCAGATGTCCAAGTGTCACCCAAGTTTTGGTTGACAGTACTTGGTAAGTACAGTATACCATTGAATGTCTTACCATCAAATTTCTTGCCTGTATCCATGCCACTTTCTTCAATGCTTTTAGCTTTATAAGCTCTTTGATGCATTTTCTGTTCTTGTTAAATACGTCTATTGTATTGTAGATATCTACAGTACTCTTCTGCTTGAAATATCATGGTATATCCAGTTGGTTTGATAACTGCTCTGAATGTAGCCTTAGCAAACAGATGTTAACTAACCTGGCAGTAGTGACTGCAGAGTACTTCCTGCTTGTCCAGCAGGCAGAAGGCTGGGGGAATGGCGTTCTCGTCTCTGCGATACCAGCGCTCTAGGGGTTGTGTGCTAACGCCAGCCTGCTGGCACACTCGCAGGACCTCCTGGAACTCCGAGACCTCAATCTGTGCAGGTAGGCAAGGGCGGCCATACTGCTCCCCAATCAGAGCCTGATAGCGGCACCCCCCCCCCCACCAGGCCGACAGAAAGAAAGTCAAGACATTTGTACAAAAAGGTCAATTAAAGGAGATAATGGACACCAAGTTCCGTATTTTTGTCAATCTTCATGGTATAGATCTGTAAGAGTGAGCATTTTGACCATTACAGCGAGTAAACTCAAACATGGATTGATGGAGTCTTAAAAGTTAAATACCCAACTGAATTAGGTGCTGCCTTAAACACACTTTATGGCTTTTGTTACAAAGCAATTGTTCCCAGAACAGCACTTACAGAATAGGCTTTTGCACTTCATTAGGATAAACAATGCTTCTCTTTTCTATAAAGACTGCAGCACTATAGTTTGAGGGCAAATATCTGACATGCACTTCCCCATGATCAGGAACAAAAGACTGTGCTGGCAACAACAATAAAATAGTCAGAATAAAAAGCATCATTGACATATGGTTATTCACCACGAAGAAAGGGCCAGCAGAGCTCTCCTTGCACTCCTCCAGCAACTCCAATCGAACCTGCTGGGCTCTGGAATCACACAGGCCGTGAGGATCCAGCCCTTCGTACGCGTCGATGACCTGAAGACAGAACACCCTGCAACTTCGCTCTATATGGGTGGGGGACGACGACTTGTGTGTGTAGACTAGGGTGCAAAGCACAGGCCAGCGGTTTTCTCATTTACTTTGAATATAGCCATTTAAAAAAAAATTGCTGCGTGACAATTTCAATTTAAATTCACCGGTTTCCTAAATCAGCTGGCTTGCATCTTAAAAAAAAAAAAACCCACTCAAAATAACAGAGCACGCTCCGAAACAACCTCCTTAACTTTTTGACCTTTGCAGCTAGCAGGATGATGGAGCCACTCACTCAAAATACCGTGGTTCGGATGTTAGACAGAGGGGTCGTATATGGGGGGATAGTTTAGCTGTCAGGTCAGGTAGCACATAGACTCCAGCCCACACCCCAGTGCTTCACACGCCACACTCCATCATCCTGCTGCATGCCACATACTGTCCTGCAGGGGTCACTGTTGGCAAACTCCCCTCTCTGCCAGTCTTCAACGGTCTTCGGCTCTATTCAGAGGGTGTCACAATATACTGAAATATCTACGCCCTAAACGCGACAGACATCAATAATTGAGAGCTTGGCCCTGTGGCCATTCCTGCTTGATGTTAATGACGCACGTTTTCCATTCTCTTTGCCTCCAGCAAAACACCTTAAAATATTAGTTAATGTGTTTTGGTGTAGTCTAGACGTCATAACACTGTACCTATAGTACCTATTGTTGCAATAGTAATCTCATCAAAACATTAAAGACTTCATACAGTATTATGGTGCTTGAGATCAGCGGTAGAAAACAATGGTTTTGCTAGTAAAATGTGTTGAACTGGACGGATGTCTCTGAGAGGGTGAGCCAGTATTGACCGCTAAAGCAGATCACACGTGAACCTTTTAATTTCCTTAATTTTAAAATTAAAATAAGACGGCGGTTATGTTTTACAAAAAAAGATCCCGATTTAAGATCATTTCACACGTTACCCTGAATTCCAAACCATAGGTGTATCTGCAGTATTCCCTTATTTTAGGGTAGATAGTTTCTCTGAGTGCTTTCCTTTCCTCCTGGAAATCTAAACGAACAAGTAACAAAAATGAACGATCATTACCAGTACTGGAAAGGGACAGGAGAGAGTCATGGCACGAATATATCAGACATAAAAAAAAAAAAAAATTTTCTATAAATAAGTAAAAAAAAAGGGCTATAAATAAATCTTCTACAAACAACAAAAAAAACAAGTTAAAAAAAAAAACTACTGAGGCAAGCAAACCAAACACACACACATACACACAAAGAAAAACAAAAAAGAAACGAACACACAAACAAACACCAAATGATTTAGCTGCAATAAAAGTTTCGTTAAAATGATCATATATTAAATTCCGATACCGACAATTAATATCTAGTTTAACTACAATAAATGCTGCAGATCGTACTCATAATAATAATAACATGCAAAAACTTACCTTCAGGATTGACGCATAAGAAAACTTTAATGCATGCTTTGGGCGCTTTCCATGAGAGTTTGGAAAAATCCATAGAAAGTAATCTGTTTGTTGAGTTATCCATCTGCCCAAACTCTTTATTGTGTCGTTTAAAAAAAAGCTTAAACACAACATTGGTATTGAATTCCTTCACTGGCAGAAAATAGTTTTATCTACTAGAGAAACTAATGAAAAATGACCGTTTGGGGGGCTGTTTAAGATGTCGAGTTCCTGCCAGGAAACTCTGAAAATAAAAGCCCCGTCCTCTCTCCGCTGACTGCGTGTGAGAACAGACCTTTTAAATGAACGAAACGTTGAACACATCCGTAGGCTAGAAACTTGTTCGTCTAATTTGAAACGCTTCCCCACCCTCTTCAATAAACAAACAATTACATAGAACGAATATTTAAGTATTGCCAAGGAAGAGACTGTGCGTTCATCTTGACTTTGGAGGTCATCATGCGACTGGACCCAAACTTACATCGGTAAAGTGGCTGTGGCTTGTAAGTCATAATTACTACTGTACTATTCGTACTAATGAGTCGCACTACTTATCTCTAGCTGTATGTGATTTCTGGAAGCTGGGCTACCTTGCGCCGATATGAAGTCTTCCCCACTTCTGTGGCAATAATTTAAAAGACTCAACTCATTTTATAGGGTTTAATTAAGTAGAAAACCCAGTTGCCTCAATTCAGGATATTTTCGAACAGGACTTTGGTATTTTAGAAACTGTCACAGAGATTCACTTTATACTGTAGCGCTCTCGGGTTCACATGGGTATGCGCCCTCGCCGCTGCCGCCTCAGGTCGGCCCCCCCACCGCTGGGGACTCGAACCCGGGAACCAAAACATTGGTGTCAGCAGTGGGATAGGATAGCCCTCCGCCGAGGATGGCGAATTAAGCGGGGGAGAGTGTAACGCATACGGCCCACATTACAGATCGTGCAAGCCGGCTTACTAGCGCGGTGACGTCACCGCCCTTCCTTGTGGATAGCAGGGTCCTCAGCCGTCGGGCGAAGGGGAGATTTTCCTTTAGCTCAACTGGCTGCGTCCATGTTGAGTGACGCCGGAGGTCCAGGTTCGAGTCCCCAGCTGTGTGGGGCCAACCTAAGGCGGTAGTGGCGAGGACGCATACGTGAACTCGAAAGCGCTACAATACTGTATTTTCAACCTAATACTATATTCTTTGTGCTTAGGAATGTACAGACTGTTACTTGATGTTACACGTCTGCTTTAGAGGAGGAATGAAATTCTAGCATTGAAACAAGCAAAAATAACATGGAGACCGGACAAGGAGGAAAAACAAATATAGACCTTTTCATTTGTTTTATTATTTAACATTTGTACACAATAAATACAAACTTTTTACAGCCCATAAAATGCAGAAAGTATTTTGCACCACTGCTCTCCAACATTGACACTGTGGGTTACAGAGTGATCCCTGCGCTCACAAGTCTGTTAAGGGAAGGCCCGTTATATGTCTTTTTTTAGCAGCTTAAAAATATAATAATATAAAACATAAAATAATACTACTTGTGGGTATTTCAATGGAGAGTTGTTTGAATTAAGTGATAAACTGGCCAAAAAGAATACAAGAGGTGGTCTCTGGTGACAAGAGTGTTTGAAGGATACGAATGCTGTAAACCATAAACTTCAAAACAAGTTTGATAACATTCAAAAGATCTCAATGAGATCAACAAGAATTGAAAGAGAAAGAGACAGAAAACACAGATATTTATATATCTTCCCCTCTAACTGCTTTTAATATCTAGACTGATTGATTTCATATTGTACTTCACATTCCTCCCCAACCTTTTTTTTTACAATGAATAGTTCTGATAAATGTTAAAAGCATTCTCCTCCTGAAAAGATCTAATTCATTTTTAAGAAATAAAAACCGTGACAGGTGTGCAGAATCACAAATGGCATTAGTCACACTAATGCTGAGAAACAACACTCACAAATATGCAAGATAAGTGGCAAAGGCTGTAATTTAGGGGAAGCCAAAAAAAAAAAACAGCAACAAGAAAAGTGCTGTTAAGAATTTCTTGCATAAAAACCAAGCACTTTTTAAATTAACTTTCTCAAGTTATAGAACACTAACATATTCCTTGCTTTTGGTTTGGAGAGCTTCAGAATTCTGAATTACCAGTTTGCCCCTATAGGAATTAATTTACGCTGACTAGTTGTCAGCTACAGATAACCCAATTACAGGCAAGTCTGAGAGGAGTCTCTTCCTCCTGATGATGCAGACATTTGATTTCTGGTCCGCAAGCACAAGGTTTTCTTCAGTTTTGTTTTGCATTTCAAATGCCTGGAGAGCTCTGCAGTCATTTGGAAAAAATAAATTGCCACTTCTGCTTGTTTAAAGGCCTGACCGTAGCTGAAAGCACACAATTCACTTCTTGAAAGGACACTGAACCAAGAATAGGTTTAGGTGACTGTACACGGGAAAAAATACTTTGAAAGTGGGGGGGGGAAAAAGTGTTCACTAGATCTAAAGAAGGTTGCCACCCCTCAAAAAGAGAAATCAAAGGATCACAGAAAAGACAGAATCTGAAACGACAGCTTTTTCAAAACGTGATAAATGAGTGAAGGATTTTCACTGGATCTGAAATGATCCTGTGCTGTAGTTTAAACCAGGTGGAAGAAGTCTGATAAACACATTACCACTATGCTCCCATTTCTTAAGTATTTAGCCAAATTATATTCTGTTCAATCCTTAACAAAGCTACATGACAGATAAATGTAAAATAAAGCACCCCCACTAATGTTCACTTATTGAATTGCATATAAATGCAGATTAAGTCCGATGATAAGTGAAAAGACACAGGTCTACACATTGATTAAATGGGCGTTAATGTTAATGCCTGATTCAGATCCAAATCTTCTTCTAATCTGCATTGCATTTCTTCTTACTGTGGACTGCATGTTAGCAATACAGAGGATTGTGTCTATTACAAAAGCTGAAAAAGAGATATATCATGTAATTGGTATTGTTTCAATTGCCACACTTCCCTTATCTATGAGATAGAAGAAATTTACTCTCATTTAATTTTGTGAAGGGGAAAATCTCCAAGAGGGTCCAGCCCCTTGTTTCGCATGTTGCTTTTTTCAACTCCCTTTCACCTAAACGTTAATTTGAACAATTATACATCACATAAAATATCGACATGGTAATGCTATATGAAGAAATGTTTCGCATATTTTGAACATTCCTATGGCAACAGTAATGTACTGTACTAATGCATATTATATACGTATGATATGACTACATGTAGCTGGGCCTTAGACCTCCTGGAGAACAGCCTCACTGTTCCCCAATCATCTTCCTCTTTCAGGACAGGCCTGCTTATGGACATTCTCTGCCATGTCCTCTTCACTCAAATGTTTCCTGCTTCAAATGCCCAATAAAGACACAGATGCACAAAAAAGGCACAAAATATTTGTGACTCTGTATATACACAAGTTGCTTGCCATCCCTTTCTTTCCACTGTTCAGATAACATCAGAGCCAAGGAAAGGTTAGAGCGAGCTAAGACCTTTCGGAAAATCTACTGTTCGGGTGCTTGTAAGTAGTCGATCCGAGGACCTCATCCCGACAAGCCTTGAAAAAGAGACAGGGTGATCAGCTTGGACAACGCGGCTGGGAAGCGTGTTCCAGAACTCCCAGAACTGTTGGGGTAAAAAAGTGTCTCTTGGTCTTCCCTTTTCACTTTTCAACGCGCTTCTCTGTAGTTCCCCCTTGTGTCGTCATGGTTGACTGTGAAGAACTCCGCAGGGCTGAGTTTGTCGAGGCCTTTGAATCAGATCCCCTTGTAGTCTTCTTTGCTCAAGACCAAAATGAATCAGTTCTTTTAGCCTGTGAGTGTATTCTTTTAAGCCCCGATATGTATCTGTTCACACTTCTGGACTGATTCCAGAGCAGCAATATATATATTTTTTTAATGTGGTAACCAAAATTGTACACAATATTCTAACGAGGTTCTTACTAGTGCACTATACAAGTTTCACATAACATCCCTTGGAACACTTAAAACTATATTTCTTACCATTCTGTTTGCTTTTTGTTTGGCTCCTCCAACATTGTGTGGAAGATGTAAATGATGCATCAACATGGGTCCTTTTCCCCCCCATAAACATCTTCTTCAATCTCACCGATTCCCATCTTATTTTTATATTTTTATGTTTTTGTTACTTGCGTCTAATCCTCTGAACTTTTTTACTTGGCCATCTAACAGGTGTTAACCTAGCCTTGGTATTTTTTATCATTTGTAATTTAAATCATCTTTGCAGCTTCCACAGTGCATACTTGGTATCAACTGCAAATTTGACGAGTTCACTAACTATGGCAGAATTGTTTGAATTAAGAAGAGCAATGGTCCTGATACAATTCCATGTGGTACTCCACTAATTACATCACACCAGTTTGAGCATTCACCCCTTGACTGTACAGTCGTCTATATGTTAACCGGTTCTCAATCCAAATATGTGCATTACCTAGAATTCTTACTGCCTGAATTTAAGAATGAACCTTTCATTAGGAATCAAAAGCACTTAGTTCTAAAAGGCTAAATAGAGTCAACTCGCAACTTGCGTGTTCTCAACTTAACAGCTGTACGTAGTTGGCTATGGAAATTTAAAAAAATATTGAAAAAATGCCTTATTCTTCGAAATATTTTCAAATATGCCTATGAGACCTAGTGAGTAAGCCTATACAGTCGTCTCATTTATTTATTTTTATTAACCGTTTTATACTGCTTTTAGCATAAGAGGTTAGAAGGGTTTTTTTTATAAGGGTTATAGGGTAAAGTGTGACTATATGCGAATTTGGCTTTACACGCTACTCAAAATCCCTAAATGCCTACGTAAATTGTCAGTCAAGTGTACAGTCGGTATCCATTTCCCCTGTCGCATGTTGAAAGAACTGGAAACAAGTTAAGCATGATTTACCCTTCTTAGACCCATCATTAAACAGATGATCCTCTAGTTTGGGTCTAATAATAGTTTCTGTAACATTGCAATTAATAGAAGTAAGACTTATTGGTGTACAACCCCATCAGTTTTTCACCCCATGGTTATGTTGGGTGCTACTCCAATCATGGGTACGTTTTCAGTCAATGGGTATTATCCCTGTGTAGAGGGACTACACAAAGAGCTTTGTTAATGACCTACAGATAATATCTCTTTCTTTGAGTATTGGGGAATTATTTAAGTGCTTCTAATACCCTTAACAATTCTACTTCTTCTTTGCAACTTTTTCCTAATTTAGAACTTCGTCCTTCCCCAGCCCGAGACATGTTGTAAATTTAGTCTTTGGTAAACACCTGGATAAAATCTTAATTTATGTCAGCCTTTTCATTCTCTAAGTCTTTCTGGTTATTGTATCTGTGAAACTGCACTTAATCTTTCACTGATCTTTTACAGCGGTAATACTGACTTGATTTTCTTTATTTTAGGGTCTTATGTTCTTGAGAGAGAATCAGAGAGATATTATAACTCCCTCTGCCTCTCCTATAACCTTAGTGTATGTGATTGCAATTAATTTTCCCTTTGAAATGTTTCAATCATTTTATAAAGTGCTTTTTTTCCCCCTTCTATTTTTCTTAATTGATTTTCTAAGCCGTACTGGACACTGTTTTTTTACTCTGATTTACTTATTCACTTAATCTGTTCTGTGCTTCAAGCAGAATACCTTTAAAATGGTGTCATCCATTCTACTGTTTCCATTTCTGTTCTCTTTCACTTCTCAAGGACTCCTTCATTTTCTGAAATCATTTTACTTTGATCTTCTGAAATGATGTCCTAAACTGCTTCGGATATCTCTAATGGCTTTCTTGCATCCATTTTCCTTAACCTATCATGATCGATTGAAAGGGTCTAGGTTAATGCAGACATTACACATGTTCTTGATTTCATGATACTGAACTGCATAATATATTAATTTTGTGATCTGTAGCCTACTCCTTACACTATGTATTTTTGTATAAGTATGACCCATGTAATTTATAAGACCACTGATTCTTTATGTTCCTGTATACGAATGCTCTTTTGGATGTACTGTATAGTGCTATACCTCCACGCCTTCATTCCTTCTGGTCTCTCAAGAACAACTGCCCATTAATGTTGTATCACTTGCCATCACTCTCCATTAGCCATGTTTCAGTGATTCCAATTACATCATAAGTGCATGTTACTGCAGTAGCTTCCATCTCTTGTATTTTGTTCCTAATACTCCAGGGATTTAGGTATAAGCACCTAGTTACCTTGTCCTTTGATGTTCTGATTTCCCTTGGGTTCTCTTTTTTGATTCTACTTCCAAGACATCTCCCTTGCAGATTTTCTTTGGATCTTCCCCTCCCCCTTTCTTTCTAGTTTAAATGTTTGTGAATTTCTCTATAGATCCTTATAAATTATAGGCCCAATCCAACCAGTGCCATTGTCTGTACTGCTGGCGTTTGCCAGAGGAAGGTTTCTAGGGACTGCTGAAGCCTTTTTTCAGCACACCATGTCCTCCGCCCGGTGTTGAGTTTACAGATGACCTTTTTGCAGTTGTTCACCTCCGCATGGTGCAGGCAGGATCCCTGAGAAGACCGCCGATTTTGGGCCTGCTCTTCAGCGGGTTTCCAAGGTCTTTCAGTCTGTTGCGTAATAAATACTCTCAAACCTCCTTCCTCCTGACTCAAGACGAGGGCTCATAATGAAAAGGTGCCGGACCTCCAGGACTGATCCCACGGGCCTGTCTCACCCCACCCCCACCCCCCCACGGTTCGGAGCCTGGTCCAGTTCAGTCAACGAGCACGGTGCCCCCCGAGCAGCCTTCCCCCGGTGTGGTGCTCTTACACCAGAGTGATCTCCACCTCTTCAGTCTTCTCTACCTGCCTACGAGGGTGCTGTGTGGGTGGAGGGGGCGCCGCACGGACCTGCAAACACACAGCCACACATCTGCGTTAGATGTGCTGTACCTCGAGCAGCCTCATGGTGTAGCTTACTACTGCACATCCTTACGTTCCAAGTCCCATTTCTGCTTACTTTCTCTTTACAATCCTTCCGGATACCTCATCCAGGTTTCAGTTTAGGAATATCCTGTGCCAGATTTCCCATAAGGCACTGTAGACACAGTGCCTAGGGCCTACGAAGGAGGGAAACACTAGCGACTAACGAAAAATGAGCTGAAACAACATGCTTGCAATCGACTCTAGGTGCTCCAGATCAATAATCAAACGCTGTCTAGCGGCTGTTCTAGAAACTAGAGGTATAGAAGTGATGGTCGCTTGACTCGCTCCATCCATCACGTGGTTTAGCATTAGAATAGTTTAAAGTGCATATCAATCGACGTAATTCCATTGGCGTTTACCCCTCTTTTTGAACATTACAGAGTCAAAGTGCCTAGGGTTAGTGCCTACGAACACCAAAACCGGCTCCGATTCCCAGATCTGTGATGTACAGAACAGGCTCCGGAATGTTCCACTTCAAGCATGCAGGTTTGGGGCTCCTAAGATTGGCTCAGCCAATCAAGAGACTGGCTCAGACTGCATGCTGGGCCCTATGACCCAGACATCACCAGCTGGAGCCTAGGCCGTGCCACGAGCCAGCTGTGAGGCCCACAAATAAGTCTTGATATTCTCTCGTTCTGGCAAGAGTATAACTCCAGTGACTTGTCTGGAGCCCCACTCCTACAGCTGACACATGTCAAAGAATGAATGGCCAATACAAGCAGGTTGTTGGGAGATTCCAAAATGAGGTTTAAATTAAAAACATAGTTGATTCCCGTTTTCTTTTTTTTTTAAAAAGCACACGGCTTATGGAAACCACAAAAGTTTTCTTTTCTGGGAGACGACTGTACGTAGAAATTCAGGGTGAATGGTTAACTTACAGGTCTAAGCTTTCCAGGGCCGCTGTCTGGTGTGAGCCTCAGAGGCTGAGCATAGCCGGGGGACTCAGAACAGAAGCTGTTGTGATCTGAGAGAAGGATTTAAACAATGTGAGAAACACATCATAGCCTGAAAACATCGTTAGCACTTTAATAACAGTACTCCAGAGTAATATGGACTCCACCTCCACTAAAAATTCTGCACGCCTTTAACACAGAACACTTCCTACAAAGGCACTCCTAAAGTTTTACGATGTGGGAGTGATGCTTACGAGATACAATTTAGCATCTCAATAAGACATGATGTATAAAAACACCACACCTTGAGAAATTTAAAATCATTACGTTTTAAAATACTTTCACAGAACTTTTTCCATAGTAAAAAAGTTGATTAGTGTTGATTCAATGATGAAGTAAGACAGCAGTGAACGACAGCTGAATTTTACTTTCCACATTTTTATATGACACTGTTTCGGGGTGTTTTGGATATGTTATTTCGTGTTTTGAATTTCTTTATAAAAATGTCATAAAGCATCGAGAACTTAAAAACACAGATACACTACATACACGTTTAAAGTATAATATAGTAGAGACTCAGTGCTGTATTGTACTCATAACCTCAGCTTGCTAACTGCAAAGAACAAAATATTCAATTTAATAATAATAATAATAATAATAATAATAATAATAATAATTGCTTACACTTATACAGCGCTTTTCTGAACACTCCACTCAAAACGCTTTACAGATAATGGGGACTCTCCTCCACCACCACCAATGTGCAGCCCCACCTGAATGATATGATGGCAGCCATAGTGTGCCAGGACACTCACCACACATCAGCAAGGGAGGAGAGCAGAGTAATGAAGCCAATTCATAGAGGGGGATTATTAGGAGGCCATGATTGGCAAGGGCCAATGGGAAATTTGCCCAGGACGCCAGGGTTACACCCCTACTCTTTTCGAAAGAACACCGTGGGATTGTTAATGACCACAGAGAGTCAGTGAGCTGCCAGTTGTGAGTTATGGCTGCTGGCAATTTAGTATAGAGCCTGCTTAATGAGAAGCAATTATTGTGTGTAAATAACATATGATATACTGTTTCCAGATCAGCCGGTGACTGCTGGGAGAACGGTGGAAGCAGAATTATCTGTACTGTAATTTTTAACACCTCACAGATAATCTACACCAGTATGTTTCTACATTTCTTGGCGAGGTCTGGACGGTACCGCGCAGAAAGCCGTCTTACTGTGAGCGGGGCCTTTGAGTGGCGCAGGCAACAGTTGGTGCTCTCCGTTGACGGACGCGGAGTGGGGGAAAGGGGGCGCCGTGGTCTTGTCAGGGCTGGTGAACGGGCTGCAGGGGGGCTGGTCGTACAGAGGCAGTGGCGGCAGAGAGGACTGCAGCCGCAGAGAGGGAGACACCTGCAAAGACAGCCGAGATGACCTTAACCTCAGACAACCTTCGCCATTTTCCTTTAGCCGTGCTTGAAGCTGTGCTGCAGCTCATTTCCCAGCGTCGCCAGCACAGAAGGGGCAGGATCTCCCAAATTCCAAGCCTAATGGCCAGTCAAAACCACTTCCCTTCTCGGATTTCCCTCTTTGATCTAGTTCTGTAAACATTCAAATTACAGGAAGGGCACCATCACGTCCGTCCGTATTTATTAGTCTTCACAAATACCGTGAACAGAGTTCCAGACAGTGGGGAGAGTTACATCTGTCCACTGCCTGGAAAATCTACTGTTCTTGTAGACAAAAGACAATTAAAGGGAACTGCAACGCTATTTAAGATTTCAGGATCAGAAAGAATCAGCTTTGATGAGTGCATTCCATATGCACAATGAAAGTAACATACACAGTAACGTATAAAGCCTCCAATTTAAATCACAAATAGAATAAATCTTCAGGAATGCGCAGGACCATGTTCTGTGATCCACAACAAGGCAACAAAACTTCTGGTGATGTGTGGCAGCCCTATGACATTGTAAACAACCAGGCTTGTGAATACTTCTCTTTTAATCCAATAGGAATATTGCTTTCGCTTTCAAAGCAAGTTTGTCGCCAAATATTACTTACTCGTTAACTCTGCATGCAGATCACATTGGAACATTTCTGCTGTGAAATGTCTGCTGCACAACCTGTATTTATTTGCTCGTACTTCGCTTTACATTAGTCTTTACGGTTACTAGCGAGCAGGAAGGGCCGCATCACGTCACAGCTCGTGGGAACTCGAACGTGAGTTTGCAGCAACATGGCGACTTCCAGAACTTTCACAAAGTTCATTATTTTGTGTTTAATTTGAAATTTGACATTTTTTTTCTACAACGTCAATTTCTTACTGAGATTTAACAACTGGTCTGAGAAATTGGGACTGCAGCTCCCTTTTAAAAGAGAAACCTACAGCAGTCTATTTGTGCATCTAGGTGACACACTCATCTTCAGATGCAGTTAAAGGACTCCAAGTGAAGGGGTTTTAGAAATGTAACAGCATTTCCCTTTTGAACACCCAGCGTTATCCGTTTAATGAATGGGGTACATAATATTGAACTGATATGCAGATTATAATAGGTACTCCACACATCATCATCAAGCATCCTTAAATATTTTTCAGTTTGTAACAAACCTACCACTTCCTACCGCATTTCAGGTGTGGCGAGTGGGTATGTGTACCTGTGAGTCGGTGATCCACTGACAGTCCCCGTTCTCCGAGGTGGCCAGCTCCTCTACCAGCACCGCGGGGAAGACGCCCACGCGCCCGTTGAACTCCCCCTCCCAGAAGCCGTCGTCCTCCTGGTTGTCCCGGTTGAGGATGCGGATGATGGCGCCCTCCGGGAACGACAGCTCATCGTCCGTCTGCCCCTCGTAGTCGTACAGCGCCTTCACGAAGCTCACTGCAAGCCAGGGCACGCACGGAAGAAATTAACAGGCGTCCCGCTCGCAATCCCACACTGCCTCAACGCACAGTGCCACACCGCTGCTATCACTTTAACAAACTCTACACTCTTGCCACGTACTTTGTAAGTGTTTGGGTTAGCATGATTTATGTTAGTGACAATTAATTTGCAACTAATTAATACCTGACATGCATTACCATACAGACTCACTAAATTGCACCAATGGCTATTATTCACCTTGATCAATCTGCACTGACAAGTACTGCATTTCCTGATTTATTTCTTTAAACAACGATCTAGAAGTGAATGAAGGAGGATTCCTACTAGTAATTAGGATTTATTTATTAGGTAATTGGGAGACCGGGTATACAGATGCAGGACAACTGTACATTTACAACTATTCAATGTTATATTTTCAAGATTCATATATCCATCCGCCCACTTTCTAACCATCTCATCCAAGACAGGGTCGAGGTGGAGTTGTAGCCTATCCCAGCAGCCCATTGGCGCATCAGGAATTGAACCCAGGGCCTCAGCACTGCGGGGCAGCAATGCTGACTGAAGAACCACAATGCCGTTTACCTCATGTACCGTATAACCAATATTCTGAAATATGGATTTCTGCAATATCTCAAAACGGAGAAAAAAGGGGCCTGGAAGGAGGCCAACACACTTTGCGCCCATCTTGGAACTGAACAAGTCGAGTATGTACGGCTCTCCGAGCGCGTGGTGTAGGTGCTCTTACTGTTGGCATCCCCGTTCATGCTGCCTGATGCCAGCTCAGGCTCGGTGGAGTTGCTGGAGCTGTGTGACCGGGCGTCCAAGGCGGCCAGGGACTGCAGCATGCTGAGGAGACTGTTGGACGTGGGGAACTGAAGGTACTTCTCGGGGACATAGCCCACATGGCCCGACTTGTTCCTTGCCTGGAATCAGCAAACCCCATTAGTTAGGCGATGTCTATTGCGTCAGCTGCCCTCTTGCAGTTAAGTGTGATGCCACAATTTTGCGTCAATTATATACACAGAAGCCCCTGGAAAGCCCAATGTAAAAATGCAGCAGCTGCTATAACTAAGTGTGTCTGATCTGCCGATAAGGGCTTCTGGGTTCTTATTTCCACATCATATGGGTGGCAGAATAAAACATGTAGGACATAAGGGGATGATGTATTAATTGTCCACCAGGCAGAACATGTGGAAAGGAAGTCCATATTTAGTCTTAAAAAGTGCAATTAACTCATCAAGCATATTAATGAACATAGGAGTTCAAAACAACTCCCTCCAAGTAACCTATAGCTTTGAATGTGTTGCAACTGCATCATGCAATTCATGGATCAACCTTACTAAGGACTGAAGAGGATAACATTAGTACTTCATTAAGACGGTAGCCTCAATAGCAGTTCCCACAAAGCCAGGAGCGCTCTTGTACCTTCACCCAGTCCTCCATGTCTCCGTCCTCAATCACCTCCAGCACCTCCTGCTCCTCAATGGTCAGCTCATCAGGCTGGGAGGCCTGCAAAACCGCACAGCAGGCCCAGGTTAGACAGGAGTGTTAACACTTACAGGATGCTGGGCTGACACAAATTCTTAGCATATGAAGATTGAAAAGCCTGAAACTGTGTGCAAAAAGTGCCAGCTCCAGGATTTTCATTTTTGTCACATCAGACTGCCACGTCACACAAAAGGGTGACATACTGTTGACGTGAAAGGAAATAAGAGAACTTGAAGGAACAGAACAAACTGAAACAGAACTAAGAATTAGATCTGAACAGTTTTCTGTGGTAACGCTGGCAGTCTTTTTTTGTAAGGATCACGAGTGAACACAGCACTCGTTACTTCAAAGGAAGTCAATGTAGGTGCATGGATGTGTCTTGATTCCATTACCTTGTATGAGTAGATCACCTTGCAGGTCAGTGGGTAGTTCCTTAGGGTGCCAGATGGACTGGAACTGCTGTCGTCAAACACGTCCATGTTGTCCTCAAATTCTTCCCCTTCCTCTCTGTCAAAATCTGTACCAGTCTGTGGACACAAAAAATCCTCAGTCATAGCAGGTCTTGGATTATAAAAGATGAGCTATAGAGCCTGCTGGCTTGTCTGGGCCCGGGATATTCTCAGTTTAAAGAAGGAGGGGAACCTGCTGGATTTTGTCATCCTGAAGCAGTGTTCACCCACACCAAAGCCAGCGTCTTTTCAAAAGATGGTAAAGTGATAGCTGTGCATTCCCTGTTCCCATCTTTTTTGCTTCTTTTCCTTCAACCGAAAGCAGTCAGGCTCTTACAAAGGGCTAGCCACCTGGAGGGCTGTCCTCCCCTGGGAGTTGAGATGGCTGCAGCGATGCTGAACAATCCCTCAGTAATAAGGAGTTGGACAATGATAATACAGGCTGCCAAGAGGAGTGCAGAGTGACAACAAGGGCTCGATTCATCAGGTCTTTGGACTACAGTAAAGCAGACAATGCATTTTATAAGATGAACAGGTACATGAAAAAACAATCTGTTAGCAAGTTGTTCTTACAAGTTGGAAAGGTCTGACTTTAACTCTAAGACGGGTGACTGAAGGAGCAAAATGTTTTATTTACTAGATTCCTTCCTTAAATAATGGTGCACAACCATTTCCCCCTTGTATTTCATTACAATTGTTAACCACATAAAGTAGCAAAACACCTGTAAACCACTTTAACAAATGAGAAAATAAAGAGACATTTAAAAAAGCACAAGTCTTGATTCCAATTTGTAAAAAATAAAACTCCCTTACAATGACAGTGACATATTAACGCTTCCAATTACTGTGTTAAGACAAACAATTCTTTGAGAATTTGAGAAATACATGATTTGCAAAGCGCACACGCCCACTCTCATGAAACTGTCTCATTAAGATGTGTGTGGAGCCCAGAACAGTTGAGCTGATGGCAGCCTGCTGGGCCACTGAACCAAGCTCCATCACTGGATATGATGACAGGGCCCGTCTCTGCTCGTATTGATCTGCCATGTTTTATTAAACAGGCAGGCACTCGACGAGAACAGCAGGAGAACTGGAGCCATGAGGTGTTAAATCTGGGGCTCTGTCGATGCAGCTCCAGCTCAGTGCTGATCTTGGTCAGTTTTTGAAAGCTGTTTCTGGAAGGTCAGACCGCAGTGACGGCCACTTAGGATCAAGCATGTCTAGACATGCCTTTACTTTCAACTGAAATACCAGTTCTGCTTAGGGTTTACTCCTAATTATTAGGCATTATCTGAAAATGCATGACACTTATTTTTTTTACAAGAATGAAAAGATTACTTCTTCATATCAAAAGTCCTTCAAAGACTTCCTTCTCTGCACTCTGTGAAATCATTTCTGTAAACTGTTCTACAAAAGAACACTGAAACCCAAGTCACCGACAGAATCCTCCATTTGTAATCCAGGTTTCTCGCAGGAAAACCACTAAATGTGTCATGTGAAGCCCACGTCCTGGCCTCCATCCCTTTCCCTTCTTCCTTTCTGCACCGCAGTGTGACATGAACAGAATTTTAAGGGCTGGAGTGTAACAGTCAACATGGAAGGCAGAGGCGCCCAGTGGAAGGACAATGAAAGAAGAAACGTGGATCAGATGATGATGACCGAGACCACAAAAGCAAACTCCTGCTTCTTCTACTGCCAAACGGGCCAAATGAAAAATCCACACTGCTCTTATTTTCTAGAACAATACAAACAATCACAGTCATTTTGCTTTCTGGCAGGCCTAATAGTTCACTATGATTGGTTTGCAACCCTTGACCACAGTTAAGTTTAATGAAATATTGCAAGAGAATTACCTATAGTGTCATTTTCTTTTTTGTTCTTAAGTATCCTTTTTCTTTATGTTTTCAGTTTAACCTTTTCTATATATCCATTTTTTTATCCCTGCAATTTCCCACTCTTGATGGTATTTGGTAGCTGAAGGTTTTTTTTATTTTTCTACCCAACAGTTATAAGGAGCTCGATACCAAATCTGAAGCCTTACCCAGCTGGATGGCCATACAGTAGCTGGTAAAAGAGGATGATAGAGGTCTTCCCAGTCTGCAGATTCATAATTTATACGGCATAACTTCCTAAATTTACTTGGCGATAAGTTTAAGCTCCTCAGATGAGTTTAAGGCAGTAAAATTTAATTTTCCATTTTATACGTTCATCAAGGGATGAACTTATAATAAAACACCAATGCCTCACTTTAAGTTAAAACATAGATACATTCGTATTCTTTTTTTAAATTTTCTTATTCAGTTTAATTCACAGAGAGCTGAAAAATGGGGAAGTTCTTCAAGCCTTCAAAGAAAAAAAGGTTTGAGACAATTCAGAATTGTGCAAATCAAGACATTTTAGCAAGTATGTTTTTTAGATGTTTTAAAAAAGAGGTTTAACTGAAAACTAAAGACAAAAATACATTATTTAAAAGGAAGACTTCCTGGCCACTGCAAATGTTTGGATTGGACAGGCTTTACGCTATACACTCTGCAACATCAGATAAACAGCAGTAGAACCTTTTCTACATTACATGTTCTCTGTAAGACCTGAATCTACAATTCTATCTCAGTCTATGCTCTGGTTCTTAAAAACGTAGGCAAGCACAGCTGTAGAGCTACAGCTAAGTTACAGTTACAGTCTCCCTTCTCTTATGGAGTCCAAAGAAAGATATTTTTAAAGTTATCTTTGGTTTCAAGCTCAGGACTGGTTTGGCACAACAGCTTTTTTTTTTATCCAGGCCTAGTGATTGCCCTTTACTTAGTGATTACTTTATTAAGAGTCTGTGGGCATAGCTCAGATGTGCTATGAATACTCAGCACATTCTGCAGGGAAAAGTGCTTAACAAATTAACATTTAAGAGGAAAGAGAAGTTAAAAAGAAAAACTGTAAATCCCCCCCAAGCCCAGGTCGTCCCCCTACAATGAGCATTCTCAATGAAGCACACAATACAAGCACAACTTTTTTTCTAGTAGTCACTGAGCCACATTCATCTAACGCCTCCAATTACTAAAATAAGAAAAAACAGAAAACAGTAGCAGGAAGCATCTTCATGGCACATATGGCAGCTCAAGGTTAACTGCGCAGTCACCACTAAGCTATGAGGCTTTCAGCAGTTCACCAAGGACAAAAGTTATTTCTCGGAAACAATGGCTGACTTGGGCTTAATGTTAAAGTCATGAGTACATGAAAAAAAAAAAAGCTCCGTGCTCTGAAAGTCACACTGTTCCAGTGTCACACGGTCTGCCCGACAGCCTGACAGGTAATTTCCAATTTGTGCCATGAGCCATCTGGAATCTGTGGGCTGCTGTTTGTTTTGAAGACAATAATGATGACAGCATAGAATACAAACCATCTCACTTCTTTCCAATTATGTGAGCAAGCCGGAGGGTGTTTGCTTTAGGAAATGCAACAATGCACCATGTCCGGTGAAACAGGCACACTCCCAGCCAGAACAATTCACATGTCTGCTTCAGTATTCTTTCTTTTTAATTCTTCTAGCCTTGGAAAGCCACACACACTTCAGTCACGGAAAGGGAAGCAAGGTCTGACAGATAAGGGGAGTGCTGTCAACAAGACATACATAACACTGCATATCTTTACGCGAAAGCACACACAGTTGGTTCGTATTACAGTCTAACACCTCATAACAGACCCTTTCCCAAAATGTTCTTTGTTATACAGTGTAATTATGACCTTGCAGGAACTGAAGCAATGTCCGAGTAGCATATTTTACTGAGTACGTATGCAGTGCAGTCTTCTGCTTTGCTGCCTGTTATGGACTGTGCATATGGTGCTGGTGGTGTGTTGCCTTGGCTCTGCAGCTCTGTGTCCAGGCTGGTGCGGTTTTCTCACCGAGAGTGAGGGGTCGTGGCTGGTCAGGCTGGGCAGGCTGGCCCAGCGCTCGTTCTCCAGCTCCTCCATCACCTGGTTCATGGCGCTCTTCAGCCAGGTGTCCACGGAAACGCCAATCTGCCGCAGGAGGTCGAGGCGGGCCTCCGCCTTCAGCTTCACCGTCTGCCCAGGGAACAAGAACACCGTGAGAGAGCGAGAGCACAGAGGCTGAACTAGGAGGGGATGTGTGCTACAAAGATCTGAGAACAAATACCAACTAGAAGATACGAATAATGCAGGAAGTGGACATCAGCATACCAGCAGAGAGTATCACCAAAAGAGAAGTTAAAAAAAAACGGGGAACATGAACAGACACTCAAGAAAGCAGACAACAAGTGTCAAACGTCAGAGAGGATCAACAACTAGGGAAAACACCACTACCACATGAGTAATGTTGAATGCTGCTGTGAGAAAAGAGTCACACACTATTATCTAAGCAGTAAGGCCTGGATTAGGACAGATGGACAAGGAATGGGACAGGAAATGGCAGCAAATGCTGGAAATAGGCAGCAAATGAAATTGTTCTGAGGGGCTGCATAAGCTGTCTCACCCAAGATATATTTTTTTTTTAACACCAACTGAAACAGAATTTTATTACCTGATACTTTATCATACTCTTTTAGAAATTTCTTCTCTAGAAACGGTGTTGTGATGCTTCTAATACATAAAAAGTGGTTCCGTCTGGACAGCATCTATTTGTCAGCTTGACATGACAGCAAAGCAAATTTTGATCTCCCTTCCTCCTGCTTTCTCTTAGAAGTCTCTATAACTGCCACACCCTGATTATATAACAGGGGCATCTCCAGAGGTCTTCAGGTTCTAATAGATCACAGGTTAAAGAAACAGCTACCCGTGAATTAAGCAGAATGAGTTCAGTGTGTAAGCAGGGTCCCTAAGGAGCACAAGAAGACTGAAAATTGATGGATGGACTTTTTTATCAATTTATTTCATACATTTGGTTATGTCAGAGGTTCCTAAGGTTTTACAGACTTCTGAACAGGTAGTGTAGGTTGGGAACTTAGTGATGACAAAGGCTTTTTTTTTTTGCAGCTTCCTTTACAATAACATCGTGCAGGGTGCACTCTGCAGACACTGTGAATTTTTGTGTTTGTTTACTGAGCTAAGGTGAACCAACTATGACAAAAATAAAATTGCTCCCCTAATTCAAACAACTGTCCGGTTTGTTCACCTATGAAGGCCCCCAGGATGTTTTTTTACATGTGTATTATTTATATGTACCTCTGTTCATTCAATTTGGAAGAACTGAAAGATGATACAAAGGACATTATGTCCAGTGGCACACTGTACCAGCTCTTTACTTCTGAATCCTTCAGTTTAGTGGAACAACTGACAGATTCAGAGGACAAGTGCCAAAGCACAGCTGATCCAACACTGCGTGACTGAATGTCTCAAGTTTGAATTTAATCTGAATGCTGGAGTCCTAATTGTGTTAGCTGAGGCCTGAGGTTATGAACACTGCAGTGTCTAAGCACTAGAGCATCTTTTAATTCAGCAATTTATACAAAGTAAACTCACAAACACAGGTACTTGTGTCACTGTCATTAAGAAAATAACATGCTTTATTGTACCCAACTTTGTTTTGATGCCAAAAAAGTTACAAAGTAAGTTTCCTAGTCAGAATCTATGTGCTTTGAATTATTAATACTAATTACATCAACTGTAGGAGAAAAGAACTTTGTCTTTTTGGATAATTGCAGATTATCAGAAAGAGTGACGTGAACTGTGACACTAACTTTTTTATTTCCCACTACACCTTAATGGGTAATTAAATTAAATATTTATACTACTGCGACATTGCACAGCACTTTGAAGGCAAGGAGAAAAACACAAACCCAGATATTTAATTAATATTGTATCTGTATAAGAATTAGTGTTTCCTTTTAAATCTTTTTTTTAAATGACCATTTACTGTCAAGATTTTAATTTTAAATGAGATTCTTTTGGCTTCCAGAAGAGGGAGCCAAAGAGTTTAGCGAAGTATGAATCCCTTCTCTTCATGAAAGAGTAATGTGAGTATTCACACACAAAAGTATAGCATTTCATTTTAAAAATGCCAATAACAATTTGCCAATGTTTTCTGAAAAGAAAAATCAATTCATATCAGCTGGCAGGAGAAGGAAATTAAAATGAAAAAAAAACACAAGACTGAACTTTATAGCTGTGAAATATGAAACTGATGTATTAAGAACACTGTTCACGTCTAGAAACTTACAGATTTTTCCCACAAAATGTTCGATAATTCGATAATTGAAGATGATACATGTACAATCATAAACATACATTTCATATGAAAAAGTGTTACCTCAGCTTTTCGGATATTCTCTTTAGCTTCTTCGATTTTTAGCTCCAGTTCATTGCGACTTTGTTCTGATGGCAAAATCCCATGTGTCTCACACTCTTCCAACGTCTGCAGGTAAAGAACGACAAATGGTCACATTGGTAATCTCTCAACAATACGTGACATCTGGGAATGTCTTCCTAAGCTTTCGTACAGCTTGTATTAAAACTTCTGTATTTCTCTGTGTCAATAAGTTAACCTGATAGCCAATGATAAATTGATCTTAGCTACCTGTATTTTCTGCTCTCTACCAAGAGCTATTGTTGATACGGCACTGGAGAGTTTTGTTTTATATAATTCACCAAACAAATATCAGGATAGACTTTAGAATGAGGCTATCACACACCTTCTTTTAAAAGCACTGACCCACAACTTTATAAAGACTATAAACTAGCGAAAGCGAAAGAACTAAAATCATGATTGCACTGCTAGTTGCTGATAACGGGCAGCTACTAACCTACACACCTAGTAAGCCATTTGCTAAAATGATATAGGCTGATTAAAGGGACTTTTCTAAAAGCAATGAAAGTCAGATCAGTGGCTCAAATGAACAATGTTTTGGCATGTTTTTCCATCCGCTATAAGAAATCCACCAAAAATTAGATTACAAACCGCCTTTGTGTTTGAAAGTAAGAACAAAAATCAGAAAAAGTCTGCTTTCCACACAGAGCATCTACAGTTCACACAACAGTGATTCTAAAGGCTATAAAAAGGGAACTGCAGTCCAAATTTCTCAGACTGAAACTAAGTTCTCGGTTATTAAATCTTGGGAACAAAATAAATTCCTTGACGGTGTAAAAAAAAATGTTCAAATTTCGAATTTATAAGTACAATATAAGTACAATATCATGAACTTTTATGAAAGTACTGTACGGTCGGCCACTGTTGTCACAAACTCCTGGTCTCGCCACGGGCAAGTGAGAAAGCTTGCGCGCATTGCAGAACAGCAGAAATGTTCCAGCACCATCTGCATGCACGGTTAACAAGTAGTATTTTTGGCAAAACTGTCTGGAAGTCGAGAGCAAGATTTCTACTGGATGAAAAGAGATATATTCATAAGCCTGCTTGTTTACAATGTAACAGAGCTGCTGCACGTCACGGGATGTTTTGTTGCCTCGTTCTGAATTGCAGAACATGACGCGGCACATAACGTTGTCAATTTTAGTCAATTTAGTCAATGTTGTTATGTAAATTGGAGGTTTTACACATTACCGTGTACATGTTACTTCCATTATGGTTTGAAAAGCACTCATCAATGCTGAATCTTTCTGACCCAGAAATATCAAAATAATAGCTTTGCTGTTCCCCTTTAGTTGTGTTCTTCTATTTGTTATATCAATTCCAGGTGAAAAGGCTTGTTTGCAGGTTCTGCAATAGGTGTCAGGCACTGGTGCTGGCACTTAGAAGACTTTTCAAAAACTACAGGACTTTCGGGATCCATCTTTACCCTTATTTCTTAATAATCAGCAGTGGCATCGCAAAACCCAATAGCAATACAGGAGTCACAGGCCTGGTGGGGGGGTTACTGTGTTTGGGCCTCACCCTCTGGTTGTGGATGATGTTCTTGTGCTCCCGGGCCACACGGGTCGCCCATTTCCGGGCCTCTTTGTTCAGGCTGTGCTCCTCCGTCGTACCACTCTCCGACTCCAGCTGCCGGCTCTGGAATTCAAGCACACGGTCACCCCCGCGCCCTGCGACAGCCCCGCGCGCGCCCGTCACCCTCCACGCTGCCCAGTGCGCTCGGACAAACCGCCCGAAGGCGCTGGGAGCAAAAGCAGCAGGCCGGCCTTCAGAATTCCAGGTGAGGGCTATCACAGCACTAACAAGTCCCACTGCGGGATTGTCACAAAAAGAATAAGACTCAACTAGACAGCGCGTAGTCCTGACACGGTCTTTAAACACTGCTCTCATAATTCGACCTGTTGTTGTTCGTCTGTGAGAGGCTCAGACTGGAACCGGAATGCCCAGGTATGAAGACAGAAACAAAAAATGCATAAACAAATAAGCATGAAACAATAAGGTCCCTACTGGTATACTCACCTTATCTATCACAATGATCTCTGCTGGCTTTTACTTGTGTATCTTATTAAGTTCAATAGAGCACACTACATTATTTGAAAGTCCTGGAAATTGTCATGTGGTATAAAGCTAACACTTACAATGCAGATGGAGATTCTCAACACAACAATCACAAAATCTATCCATTTTAGTGCCACTTCAGCTCCAGTCTGAAAAGCACGCCGATGTCTATAAGCTGGCTCACAGATTTATTACTACTAAAAGAAGAGCAGCATGCCAAGAAAGAAGCATGTAGCAAATGAAATACCCAGAACTACAGGGCAACATCAGAAGAAAGTGAAAAGAATATCAAGTTTGGTATAAATAATACACGATAAATGCAGACAAACTGACTTCAGAAATAAATCTCATTCATTAGGAATGACTGACATACTTAGTCAAACCATGTTAGAAAGGTAATGCACACTGTGCTTGAATGTGAACAGGTTTAATGCAGAGAAAAAACATTTTACCAAATACTTTCATTAAAAATAATGGACAAATATAATTTCATTTTTTTTTCTACTGTATGTGTAAAATAGAGACTGGACAGTTTCTCTGCTGAGAAAATTGTCACATTAAGTAGCTTTTTCTTAGCTAAAACAAAAAAAAATCATTTGTTAGATGTTATTCAATTCATGTTTCGAAGAGAACTAATCTGCTTTTAACTACCAATAGGCATATTGGGATGATGATGATGCAAAATCAATCCAGCACTTTTGGACAGCTCAGGCCAAAGTTTTATACAACCCAACATTTTGTTTAGTTGTGTTTGTGTATTCAGGATTTTAGAGATACCAGCACCAATAACTGTGCTAAGATCTGATGACACTAAAACCTTCACAAAGGTTTGTTTTATGCTCCGCAAACATTAAAAAGCAAGACATCCATAACTGATGTTGTACATGAAACCTCCTGTCCTGTGAAGACGATGCTTCAGCAGGCATTTATCGTAAACATGCGAAACAAGCAGAGCAGACGCACACAACAGACAATTTAACCCCATCCCACAACAATAAAAGCCTTTCATTATGGGATATGCACATAGGACTCTAGGAATTCACAAGGGGGGAAAAAAAAACTTTGTCTTTTGCTTTAAAATTCCAACCATATTTCTGGGTGGCTGAAAAATGCACAATAAAAACCAGTTCAGCTGTGAACAACATGGAAAGAAAAAGGAGGCTAATCTTTTTAATTGGTTACAGAAACTGTTGTAAGCCATGAAAAATAATTGAGAATAAAATGAAAAATAAAAAATGATTAAGCTAAAGTACGCTAGATTACAAATTCATCAGCAGGGTTCGCCCTCCAGGTTAAATGCATTTAACAGGCGTCATATTTCAAATTCAGCGCAGCCGAAGGTGAATTCCTTCAAACTCAGCACTTTTTTTCTGTAACCATGTTCTAGAATATAAAACACGAAAGGCAAAATCAATTGAAAGCTGGGAGTTCCTGTTTCTCTAGCATCCAGAGGCTTGGAATGAGCTGGCGATGCCGAACGAGGCCAGGAGGTTCAGCCTGTCCGCACGCTGCTGGGTTCAGTGACAGAGCGAGACTTCACAGAAATTCCTTTTAACAAGGAGCTCCAGGCTTCCACTAATACCCTGCGCCCTTGAATGTACGCCTTCTGTTTTTTTCTTTGCAATTTCCCAGCAAGAACACAACATCAGTAATATTTTATTAAGAACAGACCTCTGCCTGTTTGATTTCCAATGAAAACACACCCAGACGTGAACAAATTGCCTATTCTGTACTAGGCTCACTGCAGGACAGGAGGGCCGGTCAAAGGCCTGTCCCATCACGGCTAAACCTGGAAGGTCACACCCAGAGAAGGCAGCTTAATCTGCCACCAAACACACATGGAGAACCCAGTGCTCTTCTCCTCACGCCTACTGGGGGAGGGAAGAGTTATATTATATATCTCATTTATATGTCATTATAAATGACAACACCAGAAGGGGAAAAAAAGTAAGAAACTAAAAAAAGACGCCATTCTCCACTAGAATATTCCTGTAATAGGAACCTCAGTGACTACACAATTATTAAATGCACTGAACAAAAGCTTATTATGGAACTAAACATGTGTAGTCGGTAAAACTGGCATCTCCCTGCCTGAACCCAGGGGGAAAAACGGTGTTAAAATACCAGTCGGCTAAAAAAATAAGCTCAGGTGGCAAAAATATGCAGTGAAATCACAAACTCTTCACTCAGCTGCTGGTGCTGGTACAGAACTCTTATCGAGTCACAGATGCTGTACTGCAGACGCGAGGGAGAGATTATAGAAACACACAGCCATGCAGAAGGATTTTTCACATGCAGTGTAAATGTAAATTCAGCGCTTTGACAATTCACCTACTCAAGTGTGAAAAACTCCCTTAGGTGGGTGGAATCAGCTTCTGAGCTTGAAACAGTTTCAAACTCATAAAATGCAGAGAACGTTCGCGAATTGATCTTTAATGCAACGCTGTGACAGATTCGGGAGGTTCCTTGAACAGATCTTTAAAAGGCCCTGTTCTCTCAAGGTACTTTCTGCTAGCAGATAACTACGTGTGTGTGTGTGTGTGTGTGTGGGGGGGGGGGGGGGGGTCCCCTAACTTTACTACAAAAAAGTGAAAATATTTTAATTACAAAGCTTGTCATGCACATAACCATGGCAACCTAGACTTGGAGAAACTGCTCATGATCTGTTATGATTAATGTGCCACAAACCCTCTGCCCTGAGGGGCAACAATCGCTGGGCCTGGGACCACCAGAGCCTTATTTTTTCCCACTGGGAGTTTTTGTTTTCGGTTAACGCCTAACTAAATCTGTAAAGCGCTCTGGGGTAAGGTGTTGCAAAGGGCGCCCATAAAATGATTGATTGACCTTACTGATGCACGTAAAGCTTCCTCGCTACATTTTCAGAGAGCTCAATTCCAACTGTCTTTGGAAACATGATTCTTTCCAAACTAAGTAACAGATACAGATGAATGTGTTCTTCAACTGCCTGCTGGCAGCACTGCTACACAGCATTTCTACGCAGAAAGTAATTAAATTGCCACCTTGTTGCTAGTCAACAAGCACGGTTTTCTGTAGCACTGAAAAAAGGCAGCGACTTTGTTCTCAGTGTGGCTGAAGCCTGGCAATGCAAGGGCTTACAACAAACAAAGAAACAACAGAACAGCGGAGAAAAATAATGAAAGTACTAGCAACTGTATCACATTCGGCAAGCTGGCAAATTTTCAGTAGTGTTACAGTCATGTGCATATCCCATAAATAACAGCACCTCAGCAGCATCACAGAGAAAGGCAGGCAGGCAGATTAAACAGAGGGACGTGCAGTGCACAGATTGTGTTCCATGTGCAGTGGCAACACTTGCTTTGGGATTGCATGATATGTAGGAGTACCCTCCACAGTACACCACTCACATAAAAAACAAAGAGCTGTCTACATTGAACAACTGCAAGGTTTGTTAAACTGCACCTGCACATTCTCCATTTTATGACGACAAAAAGATGAAACAAGGAGCCTGGCGTTCACCTGGCTATATGTTTATACTTCCGAGTCTAATCCCCATTCCTGCGATCGGCATGCAGACAACACCCAAAGAACACACAAGCAATTCCGTCTATACCAGCGTATACCTCGGCCAAGGTCATTCTCATAGCACTCACAGGCGAAGGCTCAATGTCCACCAACTGGATGGCATTTAAACTCTGAACAACAAACACACAATTGCACAAGGACAAGGACAGTTATAGAAGATGCAGTTAACACAGTGCAAAGCCATTATTTACACAACAGCCAAAAAAACAGCAGCTAGTGGATTCGTTTATGATGCCACTTTATGATGTCAAGTCTGCATGTGCAGGACAGTCAAGTGTTAAGTGCTGTAGTCCTCCTGTTAAAGAGCACAGTCTGTCCCAGCTCCATCAAGTCCTTTTGCCAGCAGATACGCAATGAGTCATCCCTGGACACTGTGACGTTGCCATGGGAACTGGACTGTTATAAGAAGAAATTAAATAAAAGGAGCAAGAATGCCCTACAGATTGTGACAATTTACCTGGGTGAAATCTATTGGAATTTTGGCTGTTTAAAGATATACACAACCCTTACTGATAATGCAACGGTAACCAATTAACCTGTTTTGAGTATGAGAGGCAGTGATATGCATGTGTACAATGTCAGAACTTCCATCCCTTATTGTGCTCTTCATTACCACTTCAGTCTGAAATGGCAAACAGTGTGACGATGCACTTGTGTTTGTGATTTCAATGTGAAAAGCCAAGGTTAGCTTCAAAAGCACACAAATACAGTACATGGGACACCATTAATGCCAAATTTAAATCTCTTAGTTGGTGATTTTGCTGCACACTTACACTGATGGCGTTTAAACACCTGTGCCTCACCTGTTGTCATATGCATCCTCATGTGTGCCCCACCATACTGTATGTCATAAGCATGAACAAAATCCCTTATTATTTAATAGAATGTTTGCTCTCTTGGCCATGGCCACCCAGTAAATTTGTGCTTCAATTAGCGATTAACAACATTGCCACCCCCCATTAAATAACTTCAGACTGAATGGAGAAACGTCTGTATCCCATATTCCAGGTTTTGCCTGGTTTTCCCAGGGCATTTCCATGCTGGCATTCAAACTAGTGGCACATCAATCCCCAGGCTGACCACTTAGCTAGTGGCTAAACCCTACTTCGAAGTATTGTGTGGACAGTATCTCTTGTGACTTTCAAACTTTCCTGTCTACAATGTTTACAAATGATTAATAAAGAAATAGAATAAACATAACTTCATGCAATCTCCTGTTTACATTGTGAATATGGGATTACTAAAGATTTCTATAGTGTTTCACCACATATAGACAGGCAATTTAAATGCATGTCAGTGTTGAGAGAAAACGTGGGTAAATAAAGATCTCAATATCATGGATTTCTCAGGCTGTACTGCTGACATTAGGTCCTGCGATTCCATCTCACTCTTTTATATCAACAAGCTTGTTCTCAAACAAAATGAGACCCTTCTCAAATGTTTTTTAATGTAAATTTAAAGATCCCAAAAAACGTGTGGGATATGAGAAAATATGAGAATGAACAAAGATTTTAAGGTTTATAAAAAAGCTTGAAATGATGTGTAGAACCGGTAAATAATACGGCTTAGACAAATCTGAATGTGTCCTTTCTTTCCTTCGAAAGAGAATGCATTCCAATTTCTTCTTCGTTCAAAAAGAAGCTGAAAATAAAACAAACAGCTGGAATCTGTCACAGTATGGAACAGGACTTCCTTGTTGTAACATAATGGCATGAGGCTTTAGGAACCCAACGTCTTCTGTATACTTTACTTGGAACGAAAACATTACAGTCACAGAATTCTTTAAGAAAATACTAATCTAGACAAACAGAAAGAACAGTTATTTTTGGTCTCTCATTGATTAGGTACGTCAAAAGCTGTTAGAACAGACAGGGTTACAGACACTGCACAGTGCTCTGTGCCAGAGAAACGCTGCTGTGTAGCCAAATAAAAGACAGGAAAAATCCTGTCACGAGACCAAGATCTGCCTGTGTCATAAACACACAAAATTCTCAAATCCCTCCAGAATGACTGGCTGAGAATGAAGAGATTGGCTGTATAGAGGAGGAGTTTACCATGTCGCTGTCACTGGGCTGAAACTGGAAACATTGTGCTTTGTGAAAGCACACGTTCTCTTGCATGAAAAGTTGTTGATTGAAATCCTGCACCACCTGGGAAAACACAAACACGCTTGAGTTTACATTGGCACTAACTTGCACTTCTCTCCAATTTTCATTAATGATGAGACTCAGGAACCACTGCGTCCTTTAGCTGCACTGGCAGCATAAACCCTTAATTTTTTTTTTTTATCCTACACTGTGACAGACATGATGAATACACTACATTCATAGTGTAACTACATTCGAGGCTGGATAACTTGGGACGTTCGAGCCACAAACACCCTTAAAACAGAAAAGTAAAAATTAAGGGTATTCTGAAAACCCATGAAATGTGGACAAGGCTGCAAGAATGAAAAAAAAAATGGATTTAAGGAAGGGAATACAATCTTGAATTGAACCCAAATGGCAAAGGCATTAAATTGAGATTATGTTAAAGTAAATAGAGTTTTTAACAGGGATTTTATTTCATATTCTGCATTTACAGGTTTAGGCCAGTTTACTAAGTAGACAAGCCCCAATTAAATTTTTTTTACCTCTGTTCCGCCTACAAATACAAATATAAAAGGGTGACTACCTTCATTTCAAGGATGAAAATAATATTATGATAAATTATTAAATTATAATAATAATAATAAAAGAAAAATGCAAAACGGACTCACTCTGCTAGATTTTTCCAAAAGGAACTGGAATGTATTGTGGATAGCCTGGCAGGCCTCAAGTTCAGTCCGACAGAATGATATTAAATAATCCTTGACATGATCGTAGATACTTCCATCGAGAGCCTACGAGAAAGAGAGAAACAACAATGTCTTCTACAAGCAAAGGGAAAAGGAGAAGCTGCATGCATTTGGGTGAAACAACTAAGAGAGGCATTTTTATTTAACTGTGCCAGAGCATTTGTATTGTTGTTCAGAACTGTCATGGTGTGCTGAAACAGATTTCGATGGCCTTTACATAAGAATGCTATGTAAATTTCATATTATCTAAAAAAAATCATATTTCATAAGCTTTAAGCACTGTGACGGGCTTTGATTAAATTAATTTCCAGGCAGCCAAATGAGAGATGCATCTTCTTTCATGGTTTTTTAAAGTGGACATATAGTGGACATCAGCAAAATGTTGCATTTCCTTCTGACAGAGTCCTGTAAGTATAGAACCCCTCCACATACACACAAAGGACCCCCAAGTCTGCTCTGGAGTCTCAGCCCTTGAGCCAATTACTTCCTTGTTTTGTTCAGCACAGCCTGAGGTTAAAAAAGACTAAAGGCTGAACAGTTCAAAATAGAAGTGGAATCCAAGTCAGAACTGTAATAAAAAGCAAAATAGATGCACAAAATAAACACATTTTATACACGCAGTATTTGCTGCCTATTTGTTTTAAACCCTTAAAAAACACTGCACTGTCAAAGAAAAATCTACTGATGTGAACTAGAACATGCCTATTTGAATGAACCCCAAAAAACCTGTTTGTTGTACTGATGCAAATTAGTTTTTACCATCACTGGATATGAGTACCTCATTCATTCATTTTTCAAAACGTAAACAAAAAGCACTGAACTCAAGATCGGCAGCCAACCATTCAAAAAGATAAAGTAAAGTATTACACGTAAATCAGCATTGTATATAGCACACATGTTTAGGAAAAAGTTTATATTTCAAGGAGGTAGGCAATGCGAAGTCAAGATCTTTGACGGTTCCTTAAAAAGGGGCTTCACTGGCAAATTTAACTTGCAATACCGTCAAAAAGAATACTTCTATACAGGTGCATGTTCCACCAGTGGCAGAGCTCCCTAGTCCCTCAAAAAGGTGTCTGAAAGACCCTGTTTCATGCATCACCAGTTGATACCGGACTTCACTGTCACTATACAAATGTCTCCGGTGTTTATTTCTAGAGTATATCTCTGAAATCCAGAGAAACTCCAGTGCCAAAAAATGTGACATCCCATTTGGACTAATGATAGAATAGCTAACCTTCTTTTTTGAATATCATTATGATCATACAGTAGTTTAAGAGCATAACAGATTTACTGTAAAGTGATTTTACAGAGAAACTCTGAGCTCAGATGAGTAATCCTGTATCTAATTTTGCACACACTCTGCTACTGAAGACATAACTGCACATGAAGTCTGATTAATTACCCACTATCTTAAACCTGGGTGGTACTAAATACCACTGTAAAACATTTGCTGAAATTGGAGAGCACCTAAATAAATTTTAAATGGCAGCTTTAAAAAAGACAAGTGTACAGTATATTATATTCTCACTGATAAAAAAGGAAGTTAGTCTATGGGATTACCACCTCATAAAGAGGCAGCAAAATCAAAATTGATTGGTCGTGCCTCTTTAAAAACAGCTGTAAAAGCAGATCCAAGCTAGTCTCTTGTGTCCGTTTGTCTACTGCAGGAAACAATGCAGTGATGTTGGTACCAGGGAATTTCCTTATGAGGGTGGAGGTACTGTCTGAAATAAAATCTAACTTCTCCCAATCCCTTCCGCTTTTAGCAATTATCCAATTATAGCAAAGCTTAAATCAGGCAACTTGAGTGTTGAATAGCTTTTCTGCATTCCAAAAGGCGACTGGTGAGAGAGCAGATTCTGAAAGACCTAACAGAGTGCTAAATATTCCTAAAAGGAAGAAAACTGGCATGCCCTCTAACTCCACCCATACTTTTAATATTAACATCAAATATAGGCATTTCTAAAAAACACATTCTTTAAAAAAGGAGTGTTCTCCTAAACACCCTCAACCAAACAACCAGAAGGAGCCGATGGCTTATAGTAACCATTCTGCATGCACAAAATAAATTAAAGAGCCTCACTGTTGTAGCTCTGATTCACATCACTTCATGACAAAGAGGACACCATAGCTGTCTTGCAACTACGCATAAAAATCTTCATTTGCCTACAATTATACAAGGAAAGGTACAACGATAATACACACTTTCCCTTCAATATCACTAAAGTGCTTGTTGTGGCAATAAAGGAAGGATGAAAACATCAGCCCTTTATTTTAGTCTATGCTTACAGGGTTTTGTACAGCTGCACAATGCAGGCTTTATGTTCTGTTCACTATTTTCTTCACCGCTGTTGTTGTTGTGGTAAGGTCAGATAGACAGTTAAGATAGGCATACCGCTGAAAGATTTTGAAAAAAACAACGAAAAGAGGCTTAGTGATTGCTTAAAAGTGATCTGATTTATGCCCAGGATTCTGTGTTCAAATGTAACACTGTAAGCATCTGTCTAAAACAGAATTTATTTAAATGAAAACCTTTATGGTTTACAATAACACTAAAATCACATTTCCAGCATCTTCATGTCCACCCACGTAAGTTAGGTGCTGCAGTCCTGAAAATTGTCCAAAGACTAATTTAGTGACCTGGGCACAGGGAGTGTTTTAAAAGCTACATACACCCTTGGGCTGGATGGTCAGTAGCCTAAACATAAATCAAGTGTACTGAATAAGCAATGACAAAAAAAGACTGGATACAGCTATAAGGCATTTTAACAAGCGCTTGCAAAAAAAAGTCTTCCTGAGAAGTTTTAGGGTTTTGGATATATGGATTATTCATCTGTTTTCTTACAATTACCATCAATAAAATAATCACCACCAACAAAAGACAGGTATGTACCTGCTAGCACAGCAAGGAAGCCCAAACATGTCTTGTTGTGCATGAGAGGACATACTGAGAGATTCACTTGACAAAAAACAGCCTTCACAACAACAGGAACATTAATGGCAACAATTAAGCTACTTACAAATAGGCAAGAAAAAACATGCTTCATAATGGCACCATGCCTTGATATTCTGTACTGTAATCTCAATGAAGGATGGGAAGCAAGCTTTTCTAAAAATTGTGATCATCAGGTAGGTAGCATGTTTTCTACTTAGCTAGGCCGCAATACCTCAAGTCAACAGAAGGGGGTGCTCTCTGACATTCCACAGGTTCCAGTGTTGATTCCCTTTCCATTCTTCTGTGTGCCAAGAACCAAGTATTCCAAACACACTAGCCTAGGGATTTCTCTTAATCCCCGAATGACGCCATTTGGGTCATTACCTTTATAACTTTAAGCAAATCAAAGAGAATGTACTGTGCAGTACATTACCACAGCTTGCTGCCCTCCAAGACCAGGCACACTGTCATGAGAATGCTGGTAAATTATTTATTGCGAAACAATTTTTTTGCCACCAGCAAAGTCCATGAAAGAATGAGTGCTCTTATCCGTCAATACTATGCATGTGCTGATACAACTCATCATGTATCATATAGTGCTCTGATTAATGAGCAACAAAGAGCCACTACTAACAGACTAAAGACACCAGAACCCTGACAAAACACATGCTTTTTTCTATGGCTCCACCATGCAGAGGTAATATGCACACAGGCCACGAGGTTAGATCACTAACCCATATCACACTGTATAGAAACTGTGGAACTCTCCTGAAAAACACATCTAAGAAATACTATTCTTAAGCGTCACACCACTGTGAGGATAACCAGAATGTCTGAAATGAAACCTGCTACACTTGAACCGTTTTATTACAAACCCAAGAGGCCAGAGGGAATTGTTTGTAACCTTTATCAAGTACGACATCACACTGTCTCCCAAAGTCACTTTTCTTTCTCACCTGACAATCACAGGATGAAGCAGAAATAAAGGACTTCAGGAGCTTAACCCTCGATTACCCAAGGACAAGTCAAATTTTTATAGAAAGAATTTAACTGAATGGTTAATTAATTTGATGGTTTCTTCACAACATGTTGCAACCTCAAACAGGAAATATCCCACATAATATCCATTCAATGCCTCATCACTCTATGGATGTGGAGTTCTCAGCAAGTGGCTGAAGTTGAAAATTTAAATATTATGGTTTCTGCACACTACCTTCCTTCCACATCTCCTGTACAAGAAACTCAACTTTGCTAAAAATGTTTTTAACAAATAGCAGACACAATAAAATCCCTGCACCCTAAGCATCTTTTGAAGTGAAACTTTGCAACAGGCTGAGTCATATATCAATCAAAAGCTCTGGTGACAATTAACCCAATTGTGCTATGAAGGCTATGAAAAAAGACAATGTTAAACACTGCCAGTAAAATAATGATTCCCAGATATCTTTATACTGTATATACAATGTATAAAAGACCACTTTTGAATAGATGGGCTCAATTTTTCAACAATCTATATTCTGGCCAATAAACAAATAGAAGTTTAATATTTTCTTTTACGCGTTCTAGTGTTCAAGAGTTTCTGTTCCTAATCAAAATATCAAGCAAATGTGGTGTCTATAAAAATGTCTCTGGCATAAGAATGAGAGCCAATAAGTATTGGCTATAAAAAAGCTTAAAAATGAGAGTACACGAGTGTGCCCAAACTCGAAGGGATTTGCTATTGTACAGTAGGTATAGCCCTGCACTCAGGATTAAAATACAAGGATGAAAGCAGGATTAGGGAATAAATATTCTAACTGCATTAACAGCCTCATAAACCCTATCCCACATATTAGGATAGTTGAACAAAGATAATAAGACAGACAAAAAATAGATTAATACAAACCATCCCAGCACATATGTTTTATAGCAGTGAATCAAGAAATGACCAAACCCTCCCATGGAATTTGTGCCAGTAAAATGGATCATTAGTTTTTTTCAATGACTAACCCAACCTAAGCAAGGAGTAATTGGGCTCATGTTTAACAACGTTAATCATGTAGGACTTGGCAAGGCAGGGACACCAAACTACCACTGCCTGAACAAACTGAAGAAAACAGCGACAGATTGGCAGTAGGAATGTGACAGCACAGTAAGCTTCCAATTCTGTTTTCAGAAAACAATGCTAATTTCACACACAAAAAATCAAGAAAGTAGCACATTGTTAACATTCCCACAAACCTAAGAAATTGTTTATCTGTCTCTCGAGAGACTGAGGCTAGAAATTACCCTTGAAAATCATATTCATACAAACAAAGAATAAACTGCTTTACAGCAATACAGAACAGATTTTTTTTAACACAGTACCTTACAACACAGATACAACAAGGTCTATCTGTGTTTCTGACAGAAGAAAAGGGAGTTCTCCAAAGCTAATGAAGTCACTGGCCAAAATATTGGAAATACTGTAAATAACATGATAGCTCTCTGCAAATAACATAACCAACCTGAACATACTGTAACATGGCGTGTACTGTATATCACAAGGTGTTGTAAATAATGCAGCACAGACTTAAGCCAATCTTTTAGGAGGATTAGCTTCAGCTGAGGCTGTGATGAAGGTAATGATCTGTGGGACTAATATGTGGGATCGACTGGCTCCTTCAGTTTCCTATCAGGTTGAGATATGGAGGTTATTCTGAACAGAGAAGGTGATGGGCGTCTTCTGCCCCTCAAGTCAAATGCACCTTGTCTGTCCCTGAGGCAGCCAATTCATTTGAGTGGGAGCTCTCAAGGATTGTATTTCAAACATTGTTCAGAAGGTTAATCCTCACTTTAAACTTCAATATAGGCATGACAATAAACTCAATAATTAAACAGAGGTGATCTAAATACCCAAATACTATCACTGTGTGTTGTAAATATATAGAATGTAGACATATGAAAATCACCTGTAGCTGTGCCAGTGGAATACCTTTCATCCATCTGCATGACTGTCTTCATATCAGAGCCTGCATGACGCACTAGCCGAAGCTGGTATATGGAAGTACTTTGTTAGTGCTCTGATATCATCAGGTGGCAAGGGTGGTCACTTTAATGTAGCTGGGTACTGTAAAGTCATCTGAGCCACACTGCAGCTTTCTGTGTCTAGGAGGCCTTGAGCTGATGGATCACAGCCCTCCTACGCACTGCTTGTCAGTCAGCTCTGATGACATCTGTTCGGTGTGTCACTGCTGGAAGAGGAGTCTGCGGTGCGCGAACAGCTCACAGCTCACAGCTCACAGCTCACAGCCCTGACCTCCTCAGTTCAGCAACATGATTCATCATGTTTCTTGGACGCACGTAATATTTTATCACTTCAGATTAACCTGTTCCTGCTTTCCACTACCGTCGAGAACAACCCTCGACTGGAAAAAAAATCACGGAGAAGTGTTATGGCTCAGTAACCTATAATGTGAAGTGTTTGAAAAACAATGCTCTCCCTGTTCTCCCTAGAGGCACTTAGCCCCATCCCTACTGTTTCTCAGTGGCACCCACTGCCTTACCTTGATGCAGCTGATGAGGTCTATCTGGTAGTAGCGGTCTTGGTGGGCATTTGCAGCAGCCAGGGTGAGAAGATAATCATTCCTGGCGTGGGTGGCTTTCGAGTTGCAATCACTCCTCTTGGCTTTTAACTGCAAGAGACAGGCAAGCTGCTAGTTTAAAGCAACCTGGGAAAAAGAACTTCTGCAGAGAATCCTATCTATTTAAACACTTCGTATACTCATCAACCCTTTGGTTCCGGTTCTGTATACAAGTCAGTCACAACCTCCTTGCAATGCAGCACATCCAAGGAAATCAGGGTAAGACTTTCTGAAATAGTGCTGGGCTTCTCAGTTCTGGCTTAAATAATAAAATAACTAAATCAATATGACCTTTTAAAAACACCACTGCTGTTGTCTCCTGTGATTCACTAGTTATATACTCAAAGTACCAGGTTACCGTTCTTATTATTCATAGCTGGCAGCGCAAGCAAAAACTCATCTTATGAGAAGAGATTTAAGTTTAACAAAACAAACATGTCAAGGCCCTGCACACATGTGAAAGATGTCTTGGGAGATAACCCTTACCTTTACACTTGCCTTTTGCAAACTTATTCTTGACTGAAATAAACTCAGTTTGGACCTGTAATAAGGAGAAGAGAATCATTTTTAAGAAAAGCATCCAAAAAGGTAATCTTTTAACATCATTTTCTCAGAGTGACTGGTGCAATTAGGCTTCAGAACACTCTGGATAACTAGGTATTAGAAGGATATTAGTCTTTCAGCATTTACTTGGGATAGTGATAGTTTTTCTTGAAATGTAATATAGAACCATTCACAATCCACTATCTAAAGGTTCTTTAAAACAAGATAAAAGCAAAAACAAGAGAACAGAATAGAACAAATGTCCATCATCCATGGCACACATGTACAGAAAGCAGTGTCTCCCAGGACTGAAAGCCTTATTCAGGGAAAAGAAAGAAGGCCACAGTCCAAAAGTAAAAACATTGGCTCTATCAATTCTTTATTATTGTGTAAGCACTCTGATAAGGTACACAGTGCTTGATTCATGCCATGCCTTTATCTGAAAAGAAATTCACCAGCAAAGAAAAGAAAATAGACATAATACCTACTAAGAAACTTATACAATTACAATATCTAGATATTAAAATGAATAGGACCACAACAGAGCCCAGAGAGACATTCGATATGACCAACTTAGTTGAGGGGAAACGAAACCCACGATGAACAACCTTTTCTGTCAGTCATGCAAGGTTTAAACTATGCCACAATAGTTCCATTAATACCTACAAACCTCTCTAGACTATTCAGCAAGTGTTCTGAATAACGATATCAAAGACAGAGCTGAGGTCTGGCAGGACAAAAACTGAAAAAAGCCAGAGTTAGCAGTAATCAGTAAATCATAAGTAAGCCTAACAAGAGCTGTTTCAGTACTATGCATCAATGTGAACATAGAGTGTAAGGGCTTGTACTGAGAAATAAGAAATAAGCAAAAGCCAATTTTTCAGAACATCTGCTAAAAGCATTAACATAGAGAAGTTAAGATTATTGGGTATTGAAGAAGAGGACGGAATTCTGCTTTTTAACAGATGGATAAGGGCTGATAATGTAACAGACTTTCCAACATTTTGGCACTTCAATTTAGTGATCATTGCAGATTCCTGAAGAGAACAGGATTATTTATCCGCACAAAAACTCTGCTAAGTGTGTGCCATGAGCTTTGAGAATACGGAAGAAGAAATATATACAGAACATTTCTTAATTAAAATGTATTACCTATGTATTTGACTGCTAAATGCAGCACACCAGTGTTTTAGATGTGCTTAACACTACTTCCAATTCATATTCATACAGAACCAAGCACTACAAAGAGCTGCAAAGATACTTAAAAATGCATATTCACATAATCCCACTGTTGATGGACATAAGAAGCCCAGTGGTCATCAGGGGAAGTCAGAATAAGACCTGAGATAAGAACTCTGTAGATCCTTTAAAGAACAAAAATGCTGTACTAGTGGAATTAATAACTGGAAAAGTGTTTTCTAAGAATGCTCATTACTTGTCTTTCTGAAATTAGACTGTATGTTCTTGAATAATGAAAGCCACAGTTAACAATCCACATTCTCTGTATTTCATTTGCCATCATTAAGCCTGGCAACTTCAACTTGGAAATCGAATCAAATAGCACTCTCCAAAGCATTCTGTTGGATAAGACATAAGATGATAAAAGCTCTTCTTCGTGTTTTTTCCATTTCTGGTATACCCAGCTGCAGTCTCTCCTCACTGCTTGGAGTCTAAATGGATGAAGGAGAGTACTGAAAGCAAATGGTCATTAGTCTAACGACAGCACGATTAAGACAACTGAAGGCCTGATAACTTGAGGTTCTTGTGGCATCGTGAGGCAAACTGGCCCTTTCCTAACTATTCAGAATGTAAAAACCCCTGCTCTTCCAGCTAGAAGACCAGCAATGATGGGACCACCACCAAGCACAATGCGCTAATACAGACCACCTAGGAAAATGAGTCAATTTTCCACCAGGATCTGAACTTAATACCAACTTTCACTTCTTTTTTCACCATTAATAAAGATAATGGGGAGAGCACAGTAATATTTTTAGAATACTAAAAGTATTGTTAATATACAAAGATGAGTAAACCCCATGACTTTAAAAAAAAAAAATTCACACCTATGATATTTGTGAAAGAGAGTCTTATTCACTTTTCAAGTTATCAGTACCTGGCTTTCCAAGCCTAGCAGGTTACTATTTCCAGTCAAAAACTCTAATTCTGCTGCAGAGTTTCACAGGTTCTTACAGTGCTTTTTTTCAGAACTCATTACACCTAGTTATCAGCGGCCTGACTTTCTCACTGTTGTAAATTTCATTCTTCCGATGCACCTACTTGGCTTCAATGTCTGCCTTCTCCCGCACTGCATGGGCCATCTGTTCCATCTCAAAATACTTCTTCTTGGACTTAGCCAGGTCTTTGACCGTGTCTTGAAGCTCAGCCTGAATCCGTGTCAACTGCTCTATACACTGCAGAAAAACATTTGACAACACCGTGAAGAAAGCAGCAGGAGACGGACAGAGGCCAGCGCTGTGCTTTTCCCCACACAGCAACAACGCGTGGCGCTTGAGCCAGGGGATACAAAACAAAAGAGATCGGCACTAAAGCAGATTTTAACATTTGAAATAAATGCAGTATTGAACGAAAACACCTCCAACTCACTGCCGACAGAAAAAATGAATTAGACCAAAAAGCCAGGCCGAATATTAACATATTAATGAGATCACCGCTAAGTAGGCAGTTCTGGTCCATCAGTCCAGAGTTTATCCTGGTTTCCATGGCGTTAAGCAAACAGAGCACGACTCATAACTCTCCCCCCCCCCGACATGATGCCAGTCTGTTACCAAACCTTCCCCCAGCAAATACTGGTTCTCCATACTGCTGGGCAGGCTGGAGCAACTGAGCAACTGTAGTAAAGTACTTCACTCTAGATGGAACACTAATGTCTGGAACAGGGGACTTGGACCCACAACACACCAGTCACGAGTCCGGAGACCTACCCACTGGCACAGCATTCCCTAAATACATTTAAGAATGCAAACAGGCTATAGAAACAACAGCTTAACAACAGCTTAAAATAGAAGACAGCATCATGTTGCAGGACTAGCGCCATACTTGACTGTTAACAGCAATGTGACAAGTAAATATTTTAAGAACAGAGTTTGTGCAGGTTTGCAATCATCACTGTAGTATATCACAGGAAAAATATCCAGAAATCTTTACAGTCTATTGGTTTCTAGCAGTTCTAGACACAGTTATAAAGAAATAAGTTTTAGAAATGTGTGAGGGAGAAGGTTTCTTAAGACATCTCATAAGCTCTGGATTTCATTCTACGTTATTTTGTTCAAAAACACCATATACTGCAAGCAACATCACTCATTCAATTGTCAGATAAAGCTATTAAACATCTTTCACAAACATTTCTAAAAAACCTGCATTACTTCAACAGCTCCACTTTTCTAAGCTTCTGGTGGCCTTATCTGGGTGTCAGGCTTTGCCAGTGCTGCGAGTGTGAGGGTGCTAACCTTCTTCAGCTGTTGCTCCTTCAGCAGTTTGACCATCTTGGCAGGTTCTGAAATCTCATTTCTGTAGTTTTCACAGATATTAATGCGAGACTGGGTCACCTGCACTGTCCCTTCTAAGAAAGACTTCCAGACAGCGTAGACATTTCTGAAGGAGACACAACCATTTGGTCACAGTGAGACAAAGACATATAATCACATGAAGTATAATAAGAAAATGCAGCAGCACCACCATTCAAGTCAATCACTCAAAAAAAGCAATAAGGTATTCGTAAACTGTAGTAGTAGTAGTAGTAGTAGTAGTAGCAGTAGCAGTACCAGTAGCAGTAGTATTTACCTATAGTCAGTCCGTTCTTCTGCTTTAATTCCTGGCCAATCCCTCTTTAAGTACTGGCTTGCCAGCTTCTGTAAAGCCTGCAAAAATAAGGACAAAAATGTCTAAATAAAGACATTAATATTGGGCGTCAAGGTCATAACCTGTTCATTTGGCAAAATATATGACAGTACTTGCGATGTGTATTTCAAGGTGTTTGGTGACCTTGATTCTGAAATTATCAGGAGTTAAATGAGATAATTCAATTCACTTTATTTTTAGATAGCGCCTTTCACAACAAGGTTGCCCCAAGGTGCTTAACCATACATGTTGTGAAGACAGAACAGAAAAGAACAGAGGAGAAGAACCAAGAACTCCTTAGTGAGGAGAAAAAAAAACTCTAGGGGTCCAAGGTCAACTGGCTGCCCAAACCCTTTGGGCATGCTAACATTATACAATTAAAAAAAGAAAAAAATGAATGAGGGTATTAATCTATCCATCATGTCTTCTGTATGTCAGTACTCCCTGCAGATCGTTGTTGAACTAACTCAGATGTTTCCCAATCTCAGTTTTGCTCTTCTTGAGATAGTGACCTATTAAAAGCTTATAATTCAAGGAAAAAAATTGTTTAGAAAAAGATTGTGCTTTAATTTCAACGTTAACATGTAATTCATGTCTGGGGAATATAGCATGTGCATACAGGGAGAATATGATCTTTACAATGACAGAACCAAGTGGATCCAAGGATCAAGCAGAATGCTTTCAGGCCATATCTGTCCCTTCTCACATCACTTCAGTCAAGTGAAAAGAATTTATTGCCAAGATGAGGCCTGGAAAAATGAAGCAGACATACAACAGCAAGCTCCAGTCTGACAAGCTGCAGTGCTCTTTCTCTTTCTAAGCAAACCAGCTGCTAGGTCTCCGACATTACAAGTAATTACAGCAATCTGTTCAATGGGACATCAAGTAGTTTATGTGAATGTGTCACAATCAAGCGAAGATCAACAATATTGGGCTTTGATTGATTCTCAAGTTGATTTGGTTGAATTAAGAGTAAAGGACAGAAGTTCTGGAAACAGTGAGCTAGATCTTAGACCCCACAACATGATGAAACAAAGCACCATGGGGACAGCCAGGAAAATTAAAGTTAAAATACTAACAAACAGAAGAGGAATGGAGTGGCCATAGAGAATGGCCCTAGACTTGGGGATATGTTGCGCCCGACAGGCTTCCCTTTGGAAAGGAGCTTATCAGAAATCTTTGCTCCTCTATGAAAAAGCTCTTTCTTGTCCCTTTCCCGAACTTTGAAAAAGCAAAGAAAAAAAATCTTTCTCTTCTTCAACATAAAGCAGAAGCAGCAAGGGAGCCGTACGGTTTGCATCAATGTCTGAGTCAGGAAATACTTTGGCGAAATACCGTCATTTCAACAGTTTACTATAGCACAGGCATTCAAGCAGCTCTGATCATACAAGAGTGATTGTCATACTGTATGACAGAAATCCCTGGCTATTTAAGGCTGAGGGAAAACACACAGACAAGTAGCTGCAACATGTTTTAGATAAGGCAGATCTTAAGCAAAACACAAAACGGAGGAGGGAATTTCAAGTGCATTACAAAATACAACACTAAGAAATACAGTACGTATCAACAAAAATTATTGTGAGAGACCAGAATAAATTCAGAGGATTGCAGGTACTGCAAATATTTAAAAACACTCTGGATGCCCATTCCTGTGCAAAATGGACAGAGGAAAGACAGGTACTGTATGGTAGCAAATATATACTCCAGATTACAGTTACTGCAGATTCAGAATCTTACTAGAATCATGCCAGACAGAAACAACAGCAGTGTCCGCACTGGGGCTGGTCTGTACCTCTATTGCAACAGTTAGATCTAAATGTTACAAAGAGGTATTCATTTGCAGCAGTGTTTTATTTTCGCAGGATGGTGAAGGAGGAGGATGGCAGGGGGGATTCTGAATGGCAACAGTGTAGCCCAGTGATGAAACTGGATGCCCTATTCATCATGTGAAAACTCCATTCGTGGCCATGTGGTGTCTTTGAGTTCAGCTGCCACAGCACCTGGGTGGTAAAAAAAAAAGGGCTTGGTACAGTGCCCAAGCAGGCCTTGTCCCTGCAGCCAGCCAATAGGACATAAGGATGCCCTGTAGCTGTGTGACTGCCACCTCACACCAACTCTCACTTTACAATGGCTTTGTGTTCTAAAACTGAAGGTCTTAATCACAGTTGGCCTCGATGGCTTTATGAAGCTTAATGTTCTGCCTAATTGCAGTTAAAACGGAATTTAACTCCCCGAGACACAATGGCGCAACGAAAAAAATCATTTACTTTAATCCCTTCAACACTTATTTTTTCTTCAGCATACCAGTGGTTTAACCCTCGACCATAATACGAGTCATGAGAGCACAAATAACCTGGTCATCCTGAGTATGTCTTCAAAAAAGCCTAAAATTAAACAAATCGGTTAATTTAAGATTTTGCAGCCAATCTTCACATCTTCATTCTGTATCTAAATTTTCCTTTTGTTCACCACCTGGGTTTTTTACAAAAATGTGTGTTGTGTCTTACAGTTGCTTAGTTTGGACCAAAGCATGTTTGAAGACAGTGCTGTGTAATTCTGTAAACAGATGATGATATGAAATCCCCTCTAAAGGCTTATTGTGAAGGAGGAGTAATGCTACCTCTGATGGAGACATTTAGTGCTGGAGAATTTAAATCAGTCCTGTGTCAATGGGATGTTGATCAGCTAAGATTACGTCTTCTATTTATTTTTCTCGACTCGGGGCTTTAAAATAACTCCCAGACGAGCTTTTCTCCAGTGAAGTCAGGCTAAGTCACGAGTCCAAGCACTTAGGAAGAGGGTGTTACCCAACAAACCCAGCTGAAATGGCTTTTTTTTTTTGCAAAGAAGGGATGTAACAGGAAGGAAAGCTTTCCCATTGGCATGTCTGGACGTTTCCCCCCCCCCAAAACATATAATTGACCAATAGAAATCTGAACACTTCGAAGGCCCTGTTTTGGAACTTTCTGTGGCGTGCCCATGGAACAGCTGACCCCTCCCTCCCTCTGCTCACCACCACTCGCTGCCCTGCTTCCCTGAATCTCAGCCCCACCAGTTAGCACAATGATGGCCAGTGTGTGCACGAGTCTGCCGGGAATTTCACTGATAGTTTAACCTTTGCCCCAATGGGACTCCAAACAGGTCCCTGGAACGTGCGGGACACTCGTTTATCTGTCACAGGCCATCGAGTCTTAGCCCCGAAATTGAACTGGTGAGCCAACAGATTAGCCCGGCCAGGAGTTACATCTTAACAGCTCTTAACATCTGTTTTACGCCATACTGGTTTAGCCATCAAGTTTTCAGAATGGCTGCACGTCCGTTCCAAGCTTTACGAAGGGAAGAAACTTTATTTTGCACAAAATAGGTTGTTAAAAGCGGATTCGATTTCAAAATCACAACTCCTAGTGTAAGATAATCAAAGGCTACTGACGGGTTTGAAGATAGGCTTCCAATAGAGAATCTAGATCTTATCTCAACCCAGTTTGGAAGATATCGCCATTTGTTTTAAGCAGATCTAACTCTCTTTAGTACATTTTCAAAAACAGATTTCCCATAACCCAGAACTTGCAGTGTCAAAGAACATCAAACTAACCTCTCTACCCAGTACACCCTCAGCAGAGGCTGTCAGACAGCTTTTGTGGTTCAGCTGGTCTTTGAACAGCGATGTGATGTGTCACATTTTCTTAACCCTTTTAAAATCCTTGCAACGATGATTTCAACAGCTACTGCTGCACTTACTAACACACTGTAGATGAATACAGCCTGTTCTGCTTGTGTTTTTAGGCTTTTGGTTAAAGTAGCAGATGGCTATTATGCGCTATTCAACCCACACCAACATCGTGCACCTATTTTATGCATTTCGGAATATTCCTCTTTAGCATGAGTAATTCAAAGGTACTGAGTTAGGTGTTGAAAAAAAATACATCAACACCAATACTGATAAAAGGGCTGGTCAGTCACAAAATCATACCCGTGAGAAAATAATGTCTCACACATTACCCACACCCTGAAAGAATGTACAATCGGTCTAAAGAGTATAATATTGCTGGTTTTAACATTCAATTTCACAACATTTTATTCAAGTCTAACCTTTCGGACACACAATAATTACAGTGTGCCCAAAATGTGTTTACTTTTCACTACTGATTTAGACAGATATAACTCTGCAATATTGTCTATTACAGAGAGGGATGAAATTCAACAGTGTTTCAAAACAGAGACTATAGCAATGAAATATAACTTAGAAAAAATATATTGGAAACATACAATGATCTCTGCAAAGAAACAAACAAGACACTGGAAAAATAGACTAGCCTGTGTGATTCATGAAGACAGGCTTTCAGGTTCATGGAAGGAGGAGGAAAATGGAGTTGCAGGCTCTTAACATAACCTGCGTCTCCATCTCCACAATGGCTTAAGCAAATTTCATACATTTCACTTAACCATGTGGTTCTCCCACTACTGCCTCAAAATCAGACAACTACTACCACTTCAATGGCCTTTAAAAAACAAAAATGACTGACAGGCCCTGAATTAATTATTAGATGTTCTGAGCACTTAATAAGTCTCAACTGAAGCCAATGCAAAAGTAATGGAAACAGCATTTAGTGTATAAATGCAGACAAAAGGCAACAAGTTTACACACAGGATACTGCTTGATGACCTCTGACCATCTTTTGCCTAACTTCAGTTCAGCGGCGATGCTCAGAGTTCTGCTGTCCCTGGTCTCCTGCTCCCCTGTCCTGTATTTCTCCCTCTTCAGAGCCTCTTAAAGGCACCACTGGCCTGGCTAGCAAGCACATAGATTATCCTATTCCCCGCGGTGAGGCCACAGACCAGGCAAGAGGCACACTGCCATGACAAGATTCAATTACAGAGACCGTGAAACCAGCTTGACATTAATGCAATTATCAGATTTTATTTTTTATGACTTTTTTTTCTCTCTTCCTTTTCTTCCCTAGCATGGATACAATAGCGACGAAGGCAGAAAGATTAGCCTGGCTCTCTCCTGTTGGGCAGC